GATTTTATAATTAAGATATGAGATAGTATATACTGCATCTCACAGCTCTGATTAATGCCACGCAAGCAAGAGGGCTCCCACTTCTTTGATGACTTTATTAGATGCATTTGACCACATGGCTCCACGACGCCGCCGCCGTCAAGAAGCCACACCTCACATCCTTTATCCCATCTTGCCATTCTATCTAACAGTGCGTGCATGTTCTGCCACGACACTTACCAGCTTCGTATACACCACTTTCTTGGATGCTTTGTATATCATTGCATCAAACAACCCCCTTCCTTAATATCATCTCATGTCATGTCAATTTTATCACTCCCATGTTCAAAGAATCAAAGGCCCTTCCTCCTTTTTTTTTTTTTTTTTGCCCCCTCCTTGCACATGAAGGTACCTGACAAATTCTGGAGCCAATAATACTCGTCCCAGGCAGACACATTCAATGAATGTCATGTTACGTCGCCCCTTCTATGTTACTTTTACATCCATACATACAACCTGATGGTAATTTTCTCGCGTGATCACTCTTTCCTTTGCATTTTTAATCCTAGGTCTCCCCCCCCCCCCTTTTAAATCAATTATCACCTTATAGAGGGAGTCCACACACACTCACAAGAGGATTGAACTCATAATCTTGTGCTTCTTGATATCCTTAAACCGAACCTGGAGGCCAACAAATTCCAGTGTTATATGATACTACCTCTAATCTTAAATATAAGAATTATTTAGATATTCGATTTAATCTTAAATATAAGATTTCAATTCACTTTATTTTTCATACTACTCATTTTTTCCAAAGTAATCTGTATACGATGATCCCACGTATTAAAGAGTTTTAATTCTAATGTATATAATTAATAAGGATATTTTAAAAAACATAACACTTATTACTAATTTAACTAATTTTTTTATATTTATAAAATAATTATTTAAGGATGCAGTGTGCTTGACTGTGGGGCGATCTTTTTATAAAATCAGGACAAGGACTCTATTGGAAATTGAGAATTATGTAATGCCACCGACAGCGGAATGCCCATGTGGCACCAAAACTGACACATTATTCCATGCTCATGTACTGCTATTAATTAATTCATTCAACAAAACCAGCGTACCCAAACACACACAATCTCTCTCTCTCTCTCTCTCTCACGGGGTCCACAAAAAGCAGCACCCCATTCATTACGGTGCCTGCCGATTACAATTAAGGAAAATGAAAAAAAAAAAAACCGTTGAAATTAAAACATTGCCATAAGGATTTATTTATTCAAAGCCAATATTATTGTTATCAGAAGACATATTAATATTGTAACGGATTCTTATTTGTAATTTTTTTATTTTGGTGGTCTTTTTTTTACGGTTTTTCTTAAAATTATGGTTCGTTTGTGCATGTGGTGAATATATTAGTCAATAATAATTATTATTTAAATATACAAAACATCCCACATTTATATGAGTGGTGAATGTGGTTATTGCATCATTTGAATTAAGAAGAATACACTTGATATTTTATTTTCTTCCCTCTTCTTACTCCTGAGAAATAGTGGGTTTGTTTAGTTTGTGAGATAACGATGATGACAAGAGCAAAAAGGTGATTTCATTATTTGTTTGGAACCCATAATATTTAAAGGGAGTAATAATTATGGAGAGGTTGGCCAGCTCATGTCACTTGGTTAAACATCACGAATAGGATCATTCAGAGCTCATGATCAATAAACTGTGGACCCGAACGGTTCGACCGTTTATAATTCCGGATCTGACCAGTCGATTCAATATACTTGTATATGATTGGCCCAAAAAAAAACTCGTGTATGTAAGCATTGTTGCATCCAAAATATTTAAAAACCGGATTGGTAATTAAATCGGTCGAGATAATGGGTTAAAAGTTAGCTAGTTAGATCGAAGCTAACCTGATAAAAATAAAAAAATAAAAAAATATAAATTTCATCAAACCATCATAGAACAAAATATCAATTTAGTACATTGAATTACTGATAAAATAATCATATACTTACAATTTCTTTCCAATCTTTTATGTAATTCCTTGACAAATTGAAATCATAACCTCATATATTTAAAATCAGGTATTGATCCAAGCAAGATATCAAAATAGATATATGATAACAAAATATTCTTTCCCATATTCCTTCAATCCCAAGTAAGAATTATCAACTATCCAAAAAAATAAAGACAAAAATTCATCAAAATACTACCTCCGGTCTTAAATATAGTTGACTAGTTTGAGTAAATTAAGAAAATAAGTTAAATTAGTTATTTGTAATAAATACGTGTTATCTTTCCTAAAATATCCCTGCTACTCAAGTTTATTAGTCAGAATGGATAAATATGAGAAACAAAGTAAATTTAGATTTTTTATTTAGGAGCAAAATAAAAGTCAAATAAAGTATTGTATTAATGACCAAATATAGTATTATTTAAAATAAAAAAAAAGAAAGAGGCAACCGGGTTAATCCACCAAACCAATCGGATTGGACTGGGTTACTCTCGGGTTGGATTGAATCACTCTGGGTCATTTTTCTGGTTTACAGGGGTTGATCATATAGGCCAGTTGACTAGTTCACTGGATTCCGATCTGACCTGACCGGTCCGATCCGATATTTACACACATTTATTCCTTTTTCTGTTTTGTTAAACTGATCAAGTTTTAGTATCATATATCTTGGTTGAAGCGTCGCCATCTCCTTGTACATATCACCGGGGAAAAAACTGAATTTCTGTACAATTTCGTCTCAATACGCCGTATAATATATTTAGAGTATTTATGTCACTAAGTTATAAAATTATTAAAAAAATTCCTATAATATGGTTTGATCATATAAAATACTCAGTCAAACAGCATCAACCGTCCTTAGCATGTGCGGCAAACCAATCTCTGCCATTGACAAATAAAGCGAATGGCACGTTTTCATTTTCAATGGTAAGGAACCCATTATGACCAAACCCAATATAATTAGCTCATTACTTTATTAATTAAACCTATAATCTCGACCTCTATCGAGGTTCCTTTGCAGATGATAGTCTTCCTTTTTATGTGCAACAGGCAAATACAATTAAATTCTCGTGGCCTGAAATGTGATTACGAATTCAAAATTATTTGTAGATATGAAGAGCCCATAATGCCCAAAAAAAAAGAAAGTAAAAGAATGAATGAAGTAGGAAAGGAGACAGCTAATTACTGTTGACTTTTATTAGATAGCGAGATCAGACAACAAACAGCGGCGAGTAAAAAAAATGTCTAACAAAAAAATAAAAAATAGAATTCGGGAGTAGCATGTAACGAATCCGCATCCGAGTATGAAATCGAGTAATCACTGATCTGTATCCGTTCGGTACAGGGTAGAGAGAGAGAGCTAAAAAGACACGATCTACGCCGCGCGAGCGGATCCAACTTCGCGCTTCCTATCTCCTCTCCCTCTTCGTATCTCCGCGACTCGCCGTAGTTGTAGTTTCGCTGCTAATCAGTGGAAAACAGAGTGACTCTCGACGCACGTTGTTTAGTTCTCGACATTTCCAATCAGCTCAAGAAGACGACAGGAAAGCTACTATTTAGAGTTTGCTGCCGACAGTTAACATTTTCTGGGCTTAGAAAAATTATCCACAATTTTCGTTTTCCAAGTTTTAATACTGAGTGGGGAAAAGTATTTCTCACCAAACTCCGGTGGGTGCATCACCCGGCGCCACCACCGTCATCTGGGCCCCACCCAACTCAATTAAGAAAAATTTGCTGTATTTTGCCCTTTTTTAATCCCTCTCAATTCATTGTTTCTCGATCTCTCTGTCTCTGTCCCCTCCTTTCTTTGTGTCTCCTCCTCTCTTACGAGTCTTCGTTTCCACACACTCTCAACCCTCATCTCTTTGTACTCACTGCCTCCCTGCCCCCCTTCTCTTTCTCAATTTCGCCATAGACTAGGACCAGTCCGGTCACAAACGAGACTGGAGACTTGGGTTGTGAATGAATCCTGATAGCAGCGCACCTCCAGAGTTTTTTTTTTTCCTTGTATCTCTTTTATGATGAACAGTCATTTTCGATCCTGTAGATTTTCCTTATGAGAGGTCTGGCTTTTTTGTGATGCTTGATGTACTGGACCGTCTCATCCAATGCGATAGCGGATCTGAGCCACAGGTGGGGGTAGTCTCAGAAGAATATTGGTTTCCAATTTGGGCGTCTTGATTTGACGACTTGAGACTTGTTGACCTAGAGAGCTGTCAGTGATGCACACCGGAGGACGACTCATAGCTGGTTCTCACAACAGGAATGAGTTCGTCCTGATCAATGCGGATGAGAATGGACGGGTAAGCTGCCCAGGAAACTTTTATTGTTATTTATCGACGATGGCTGGATATCCATTTGCATTTCAGTCTTTTATGACTTTTTTTTGGTTTGATGGAAGACAGGATGTCAGGTTTCTAAGACATTTTCCCCCTACGATTGTTGAGTAATTTTTCTTCTGATCCTAGTCACGAACGAAAATCGAACGAAAATTATTTGCCCCGTTTTTTTTTTCCCCCTCTTTGCCTTGGTTCATTAACGGTTCATGGTCATCTCGATTCTCGGCGTCTGCTTCGTATCCCTTATGACTATCATTACTTCTCAACGAAAATGGCGTCCCCAAAAGGCTTTTATATTTTGATGAAGCTTTCGTGCTTACTTTCTTATTCATGTTACAGTTGAGAGGGGGTGCTTCCTTTATGCAGCTAGGAGTCACTTTTATTCAGTCAATTGTGTTTTTTTTCTTTTAATAGGTCATTCTAGATTGCTTACGTCCGTCTCTTTTAATTGATTGTGCTACGGTTTTGACCCTTCTGAATTATGTGGTAGACGACGATTGAACATTTATGGTAATAGGTTTATATATGCCTAAAAGCATAATTGATTGATAAGGGTTGAAGAATTGCCTTTCTTTTTCTACGAATTGATAAGATTTTATGGTCATGTATGGTTTACTTTTCATTCACATTGAAATTACTAATGAGCGCATCTGTGCAACTGACGAAGTACTTAGATTCATAATTTTTTCAAAGGGTATATTTTTGTTAATGCAGTATGCTTTGGGCATGTTATACTTGGAATTGTGCATATGAATATCAGGTTCATGTGACATTTTCCTTTATTGGTTTCTTCTGTTCAGATTAAGTCTGTCCAAGAGTTAAGTGGACAAATATGTCAGATTTGTGGGGATGAGATAGAGATTACGGTGGACGGGGAGCCCTTTGTTGCTTGTAATGAATGTGCTTTCCCTGTTTGTCGGCCCTGCTACGAGTATGAAAGAAGGGAGGGAAATCAGGCTTGTCCACAGTGTAAAACCAGATACAAGCGCATCAAAGGTGAAATTGTAGTTGTTTTTTTTTGTCTTTGACTTTTCTAAGCACTTCCCTTATGGATGTTCTTTAACCAACAAATGGATTGCAGGTAGTCCAAGGGTTGAAGGTGATGAAGATGAGGATGACATTGATGATTTGGACAATGAATTTGATTATGGGGACCCTGATGCTTTGGGCCCACACCCAATGTCTGAATCAACCCTGTCTGGAATCCCTGGAAATTTGGAACATGAATCCTCTCTTAATTCTGAAATTCCTCTCTTGACATATGGGGAGGAGGTAAATCTGCAAGCTTTCCTTTTTGTAACATTGCCTTTTTCCTTTGAAGTGTGTTTTGTTGCACACTGGTCATAGAAATTGCTGCATGACACTATTTTTCTATGATGATAGGACTCAGAGATATCTTCTGATCGACATGCTCTAATTGTTCCTCCATTTATGAATCATGCAAATAGAGTTCATCCCATGCCCTATAATGATCCATCTATTCCTTGTAAGTCTTGTAACATTGTTTGTTTGCATTTCTACCTTTCATGTTATCTGTTTATACCGAGAGTTTGCGATGCTGATGTTTCTGCTATCATAGTGCAACCTAGGCCTATGGCTCCAAACAAAGACCTTGCAGTATATGGGTATGGAAGTGTGCGTTGGAAAGACCGGATGGAGGATTGGAAGAAGAGGCAGGGTGACAAACTCCAGGTGGTGAAGCATGAAGGAAATAACGGAGGAAACTTTGGTGATGAGTTGGATGACTCTGATTTGCCAATGTATGTCTCTGAATCTACGTTCCGTAATTCTTGCCATTACAAGCTATACAGCCCATTGGATTTGGTAGAGATAATTACTTTGTTGGCTTTTAGGTTTTGTGGTTGGATCATTTAAATGTTAATGAGTGTAGGATTTATATGTCATTTCTCAATTTTTTCTAATTCTGTGCGGCACATTTCTTGTCATTTATTTTTGTTTGTTAATATGATTTTCTCAATGTATTTTATCAGGATGGATGAAGGCAGGCAACCACTATCACGGAAGCTTCCAATTCCTTCAAGCAAGATAAATCCATACAGAATGATTATAATGCTCCGTCTTGTGATTCTAGGGCTTTTTTTCCATTATAGAATTCTCCATCCAGTCAATGATGCATATGCCCTGTGGTTGACATCAGTCATATGTGAAATATGGTTTGCTGTATCCTGGATTATGGATCAGTTTCCAAAGTGGTACCCAATACAGCGAGAAACATACCTTGATCGGCTATCACTTAGGTAATTGGTGTGACCATGGCCAGTGCCTTTTGTTTCCTTATTTGTAATTTCGTCTGATCGCTAATGTGCCTGGCCTATGCCATTCTACCTTTTCTTGCTCAATCGTAGTGTGCTTCTCAGTATTGGCTTTTTGCATGGGTGCAGGTATGAAAAAGAAGGAAAGCCTTCTGAGTTATCCAGTGTTGACGTATTTGTCAGTACTGTTGATCCCTCAAAAGAACCTCCGCTAATAACTGCAAACACTGTGCTTTCCATCCTTGCCGTTGATTATCCGGTTGATAAAGTGTCTTGCTATGTCTCTGATGATGGTGCTGCCATGCTCACTTTTGAAGCGCTTTCTGAGACATCTGAATTTGCTAGAAAATGGGTCCCTTTTTGTAAGAAATACAATATTGAGCCCCGAGCCCCAGAATGGTACTTTTGTCAGAAGATTGACTATCTGAAAAATAAAGTACATCAAGCATTTGTCAGGGAAAGGAGAGCAATGAAGGTATGAAACTTTTTACCCTTTTATTTATAAATAAATTGCTTTTTATGCTTAATATTTGCAAACAATATGAAACGTTTGACTCACGACCGTGTCTTTCCTGGGTATTACAGAGGGAATATGAAGAATTCAAGGTGAGGATAAACAGTTTGGTAGCAACAGCACAGAAGGTTCCTGAGGATGGATGGACCATGCAGGATGGGACTCCTTGGCCTGGAAATAATGTGAGAGATCATCCTGGCATGATTCAGGTAATATGCTGTGTCTTTTTAACTGGTGCAATCTTGTTTGTTTAATGTGATGGTGGTTGAAATTATTGGGCCCTGCTGAGTCGTTGATTGCTTTCCTGTTTCTTGGATTATGGTTTATCACTAGGACTCTTGTCTTTAGTGACATTGAAAGAGATGTCTTAGTTGTTGAAGCCCCTTGCTTAGTGCTGACCCGCCTCCTTGGAATCCAATTAGACTAGCTTAAGCCCATCTTCACATTATTAGTGGACTGAATTCTTCCTATCATGCTGCATGTGAAGCAGGAAATGAAAGTGACGTTCTTTTTTTTGTTTTTTTGTTTTTTTTTAACAGGTATTCCTCGGTCAGGATGGTGTTCCTGATGTTGAAGGCAATGAGCTGCCTCGCTTGATTTATGTTTCACGAGAAAAGAGACCAGGATTTGATCATCACAAAAAGGCTGGGGCTATGAATGCTCTTGTAAGTATCAAATTATTAAGATTCTTGAACTCGTGCAGTTGATGATCTAGTACCTTGGATGACATGTTTTTCTAACTACAATATGTGAAGGTACGAGTGTCAGCAATCCTCTCAAATGCACCTTATCTTTTGAATGTTGATTGTGATCACTACATTAACAATAGCAAGGCGCTTAGAGAAGCTATGTGTTTTATGATGGACCCTCAATCTGGGAAAAAAGTATGCTACGTGCAATTCCCTCAGAGATTTGATGGAATTGATCGCCATGACCGATACTCTAACAGAAATGTTGTATTTTTTGATGTAAGTTCTATTTTTCCTGTGGCATTGCCTGTTTCACTATTTTCTTTACCTATTTATTTTGGAAATCACTAATTTTTCAATTGAAAACAGATCAACATGAAAGGATTGGATGGCTTGCAAGGACCAATTTATGTTGGAACTGGGTGTGTTTTCAGAAGGCAAGCACTCTATGGATATGATGCACCTGCCAAGAAGAAGCGGCCCAGCAAAACATGCAACTGCTGGCCAAAATGGTGTTGCTGCCTTTGCTGCTGCTTTAGAAAGAAAAAGAATGGGAAGTCCAAAAAGGAGACAAAGAAGAAGGTGAAGCTTGGGGATGCATCGAAGCAGATACATGCACTAGAAAACATTGAGGAGGGAATTGGAGGTGGATCTTTAGAACTGCGATTCTTGCAATCTGAACATTTGTGAAGTTAGAAAGATAGTGATGGAGTTTTTATTTTATGATTTTTTGGGCAGGAGCTAAGGGTGATAACTCAACTAATTTGACTCAAATGAAGTTGGAGAAGAGATTTGGGCAATCCCCTGTGTTTGTAGGCTCCACCCTTCTGGAAAATGGGGGACTTGCACCAAATGTCAGTCGTTCATCTCTTCTAAAAGAAGCTATCCAGGTCATCAGCTGTGGCTATGAAGACAAAACTGAATGGGGAAAAGAGGTATGTGCTGAAGAGTAATGGAAAAACATATATGCATTTTCTCATCAACTATCTTGATCCTAAAATTTTTTGACCCATCATCAGGTTGGTTGGATATATGGCTCTGTCACGGAGGATATCTTGACTGGATTTAAAATGCACTGCCATGGTTGGAGATCTGTTTATTGCATACCTAAGCGGCCTGCATTCAAAGGGTCAGCTCCCATAAACCTATCAGATCGTCTACACCAGGTTCTTCGGTGGGCACTTGGTTCTGTTGAGATTTTCTTGAGCAGACATTGCCCAATCTGGTATGGCTATGGTGGTGGGTTAAACTGGTTGGAGCGATTTTCTTATATCAATTCCGTTGTGTATCCATGGACTTCCCTTCCGTTGCTTGTTTACTGTACTCTACCAGCTATATGCCTTCTGACTGGAAAATTTATAGTGCCTGAGGTATTGCTTGCAATATTTAAGTTCTTTTGTTGATGAAGAAAGAAACTCCTTGAGCTTACGGGTTTTACTTCATATGATAAGCCGGAAGGGCACACATGGTTACTAACCTGCAGTTTTATCTCTCTTAATATGCAGATTAGCAACTACGCCAGTCTTATCTTCATGGCCCTCTTCATATCCATTGCAGCAACTGGTATTCTTGAGATGCAGTGGGGTGGTGTCGGCATAGATGATTGGTGGAGAAATGAACAATTCTGGGTTATTGGAGGTGTTTCTTCTCATCTTTTTGCACTCTTCCAGGGTTTACTGAAGGTTTTGGCTGGTGTGGACACAAATTTCACTGTTACATCGAAAGCTGCTGATGATGGAGAATTTTCAGAGCTCTACATCTTCAAGTGGACTTCACTCTTAATCCCTCCTACTACATTATTGATCATAAATATTGTTGGGGTTGTGGTTGGTGTCTCAGATGCCATAAACAATGGGTATGACTCATGGGGCCCCCTCTTCGGAAGGTTATTCTTTGCCCTCTGGGTCATCCTCCATCTGTACCCATTCCTGAAGGGTTTGCTGGGAAAGCAAGACCGGATGCCGACTATCGTATTGGTCTGGTCAATCCTGCTGGCTTCCATCTTAACTCTTATGTGGGTTCGAATCAACCCATTTGTTTCGAGAGACGGACCTGTGTTAGAAATTTGTGGATTGAATTGTGACGAGTCATGAATAAAAGGCTGAAGCCGTGGTCCAGCTAGACACAGCGTGGAGGAAGAAGCAATTTCACTTGATACAACACGCGTGGTAATATTGCACGAATTGTTGGATTAAAGTTGTATTTTTGGGGTGTGTAGATAAAGAGGAAGGGGAAGGGAGGACGACACATTGTTACCTGTGATAGGAGGTTTTTCCATTTATTCTTTGATTACATTTCTGTGTTATTTTGTTGGCGTCATTCTTTATCCAGCTTTTATGTATTCTTATAGAAGAGCATTGAATGATAAATTATTCCCTCGTCAAAATGAAGGGGTCTTTAATCTTAAATTAGTTGTCCTGTTTCAAGGTATGGTTCTTGTTTAAGACCTTGAAGACTGCTCATGTATCTTTTTCATCCGTAATACCAACGTGTATGGATGTTCTTGTTCGTCCCAGATCCCACTTTTTAGTCCTCTTCCGAGCATCGATGCTCAATCAAATGCTCTGCTCTGTAAACTGAACAGGAGGCTTTCTGATCTTTGCGGCGTGGGGACCCCGATGCTTATCACGGGGGCTCGAGTAGGAACTTGGTTGTAGGGTATGCGTAGTTGGGTATTCTACGGACGTTGGACCATGGCGGCGCCAACTTTTGATGAGAAGGAGCGCAGGAAACACCTGTGCTGTGCATCCTCTTCTCTATGATCAACAGGATACCCGATCCATCTTCCTTCACATTGCTTTCTTAACTCGTTCCTTTCTGCAAATTCCTGATTTTTCTTGTTGGAGATGGCAGAATCTGAATACCTAAGCAACTGCCACGAGCAGAGATCGTGGGTTTTATGGTAATAAGCTATTAACTTGAAAGAAGCTTGGGAAACTGTGAATGAAGTCCCCTAGTTTACGTCATTCATCAATTCAAAGCGCTTTGATGCACGAATTATTGTATTGACTGGTCAGAGTCTCCGTTGCTTTAATTACTCTAAATGTGTGGGACGCGGTGAAAGAGGTGTCCAAGCACTGCAACCCTATTCCTTAACGTCAGGCAAAGCGCGTGTCAGAAACAGAAAACAGCGAACCAAGACAAAATTCCTTTTAAAGAAATAAAGGTTTGGAAATGGCTTTAGTCAACCAAACCAGCGAAAGCCTTGCCGAAAGAGAATAGAAGTGATTGCGAACAAAAAGTTGAAAGATTCTACTTCTCCACTTCCATGTTTAGCCCCTCTGCAATTGAAGTATTTTTCATTTAGTTAGATAAAAGATTCATTCCTGTGTGGAAATTGGCTCAAAAGATAAGGAAAAATATTTTAGACTCAACCGGGCTTATAATAACAAAATCCCATCCAATTATTTCCCCTTGAACTTAAATGGATTTCAATCTCATGCCACCTAACCTAATCCTAATTCATTGTTGTTTTTGAGCCATTTTTGGACTAAAGAGTTTACCCATTATAGCAAGGGCCTTTTCATTTCTTATTTCCAAAGGTTAGGGGGGAAAAAAAAAGAAGCGTTCTCCATTTGTTGTTTCTGAGTTATTTCCATTTCTCCCATTAAAAGATTTCGAATTGACATATTCCGCTGGTGACTTTATTTGGTTCGCTTTGTTGACTGATTATGGGGTAGTCCAGGCATTTTTTTCCCCCCCTTCCAACTTTCTCATGACCTTAAAAGTCAGGGCGTTGTGACTCAAATTACACCACATGCTTCCCTTAAAACAATTTGTAAACTGTGAATTCAAACTCTATATTTTTATAATTTTATAATGGTGTTTAAATTATGAAAAATGCGTTATTCTTTATTTTTATCTTAAACATCATACCAGTTTTTCATGAATCCTATGACTTTATTCTTACTTTGATAGTGTAATGTCGCAATAGCAAAAGAAGAATGCATTATAGATTTGCAATTTTATTTTGTCGTGCTCCTGCAAACATTTTTCCACAAAACATTTTATATAAAACGTAATTGTTTTATATGCAATGGCGCACTAAGGTCGGGTCTCCTTTTCTTCAGCGTTATATTCAATTCAATGTTGAAAACGTTTTTTTATATTACGTCAGGAATTTAAACAAAACAGTCCTGCAAAAAAAACACCTAGATGAAAAAATGTCTACCTTCATATCTAAAACCTGCTTGGGTAGCAAGCAATTTATGGTTTGAGAATCTAACCATCCAAGCATGTCAATTTTTTGTAAAATCATTTTTCACTGAAAACCATAGTTTGAAAGAAAATAACCAAATAACATAATTTTATACAAAATTAATTTTGAATTAAAAACCATGTTTTGGGGTATAAAACAATGATTTTTTATAATGTAAAATTTTTTTTATAACTTTTGATGGTATAAAACCATGATTTAAGATATACAAAATGGATAAATGTATAAAACAAAATAGATTGGGGTATTATATTAATAATCAAATTAAATATTTAATTATCCCTTATAATAAGACTGGAAGTAGTATTAATCATATATTTTTTCACATACAATTTATTATTTCAAAGAGAAATAAAAATAAAAATATTTTTTTTATAAAAATATCATATTAATTCATGTCATTTTTAGTAATTTGCACATGAAAAAATATTTTGACAATAACCATTCAAATATTCTCACTTTATCAAAATTATTTTTTTAATAAAATTTATTCTCGAAATCTATTATTCTAAAATCTATTACAAAATCTATTTTTTTAAATCTATTATTAGGAAGTTATTTTTTAAATCATAGTTTAGTTTCATTTAAACACTCTTAAGACACGACGCTAAGAAATGAACTAATCCTTTTCTTACATTCACGATGAATAACTAATTATTCTTAAAATCATTTTTAATGTTACTTGTTATAATAATACTGGAGTGTTGTGGGCTGCTGTGGGCTTTTGGCATAAAAAGTAGAGAATTTATAGTTGATGATATACGACCCCGCATCAAGTACGGTCCCCAGGTCATTGATACGGATCGGATCTATCCAACGGTTATCAATCAATTTGGGAAAGTACAAGAGGGGAGACACTGAAACATCAAATTCAGGCAGCTTTCGGGCCATGTTCATAGAACCAACGAAGCAGTTTCTCATCAATCTCTCTCTCGTTCTTTGATTGGGCTTCCCAGAAATCGTACTCGTACATCACGCAGCTTCAAAACGCGCTTTACATTCCAACAACACACCACTCCACCAAGTCAGCCAATAATAACTTCGCAAGAGCTATTTCATGGAAACACAGAAAAAAGGCTCAAGAGATCCAAGATCAATGGCGGAACAATCCGACCTTCGATTCCTGAAACCTGAAATTGTAGCGGCTCAGCAGCTCATTCAGCTCAGCGATGAAGATAACAGCATTAGCACTGGCAATGGCAGCAGCAGCAAGAGAAACGCAAAGGGACGGCATGAACAAGAGGTTGAGCAAACAGTTATTAGCGAGACAACCTTGGCCAAAATCCAGGAGATATTCGGCAAAGACGAGGTTTATCATCGGCCGACGAAGCAGCCCAAATATCGCTCTCTTGCGAACATCTACAAGGCCACGGCACCTATTTACGAAGACGGAGGCTTCAGCGGAAAATAAAATGTTACAGATAATAAAACCCTAACAGGATTACTGTCTGCTGATCGTGTCGATTGAGGCGTGGGAGCAATTTGCGGGCGGGCTGGATGCTTGAGCTTGCTAATTAATCTAAAGAAGCTTCTCCAAATTTCAGGAGGGGGTTAATTGTAGTTAACTTTCCTAAGTTCTAATTATTGCATATCAGTATTTAGTGAAGGTTGGCAATGATAATTAAGCTTTCAGTCATGATTGCTCTCTTTAATTAATTGATGCTCCAACTACTTCTAGTTTTGACGCTTGTGCTATTAATGAGCACGTAAACTTCGCAACGATAAATGATCATGCAAATCCCGAGCGAGCAGACCATGTGTATATATGTTCATATATATATGGTGCTTTACTTATCAATATACGTACGAAGATGTATCTGCACTCTCTAACTGACTGTCTTATTGATGATATGTGAATCCAGTAATCATATCTAAGAAGATTTAATTTGCCGCTTCGACAAACAATATGTTATCATACAGAACGGTGGCTTGAATTTGAATGCTTATCACGTATTAATAATATGAGCAGTAAATATCGACAAGAATATAATGCTGACCAGTACTGACCACATTATTGGGGCAACTGAAAACCGTCTAGTTAACTTGCATTTCGAGAGGTTTCAGACTTCATAAAATAACTAAACAAGCATTTCATTGGTAGCGAAGTGTAAATATGTCGAAATATCTGTGAAGCAACGAAGCGATGAACATGCAAGAGAAGAAGAAACCCTCGCAGGTTTACTATTGTGTTTTCTTTATAACTTCGTTATTTCTTTCAGCTATATTTGGAGACTTGAACCCCAGCCTCAAATGATTTCTGGTGCCTGAGACGAATATTGACGGTACCAGCAGTTCCAAATATATTGTAAACTTGCATTAACACCGGTAAAGTGCATAAATAGAGAACTAAAAGAAAAAATATCTAAACTCTGAACATTTTAACTTCCGCCCCTTGCAAGTACAGTTTATGATTCTGTTTTAGCAGAAGTATAGCAGCATCGATCTCTCCTTCCTGCTGCGCATATTTGTAGATATCTCTATTGCTTTAGGTTTCTAGTTATACTAATCACACTCACGTACATCTATTTGAATAAGAATACATAAACTGATGTTTGTTTAAAAAAGCTTAAAAAGTTCAAGATTCAGTTCTTTTGCTTTTGACATAAAAGATGTAGCGCTTTACCTAAGAAATGATATAACCAAGTAGTCTTTTATATTGATTAATTTTTCTTTGATCGGTACGTGTATAGCAAGCGAGAGGACTAGCACAGCGGAGGAAAAGAAAAGAGAGTTTGCTGATGAAAACAAGTTTGTCTCTAACAAACTTGAAGCTTTTCATGAAAGGAATTGAAGAAAGTGCGCTGGATGGACTCTCCCTTGACTAATGCTTAATTAGGTGAAGAATCCGACGGCTGGAATGCAGTCTAACAACTAATGCGGACCTTGCGATTTATCAGTCATCCAAGGCAAGAAAGAGAGAAAGCATGGCTGATTCTTGATTTCAAGACGAACCTTGGTCCATTTCTGATTTGCCTCATTGCCTCATATTCAACGTCTCCTACGGTTACTCAAAAAAGCGAAGTTGGTAATGGAAACACAAGCCGTCGGATCAGCCCAATGGTTCACACTTATTCTGGAGTAGACGCAATAAAAAAAATAGAATAATAAAATAATATAAATAATTAGGTCGTCATCTTCATAGAAATATCCTTCCGGTTTCCCTCCCTCGTCTTCTCTCTCTCTCTCTCACATCAATCTAAAGCCAAACAAATACGCAAGAGCCAAAACCTTCTCAAAGAAGAACTGAGGAAAGAGTTTACCGGTGTGCATCCCGGGATTCTAATGGCAGAATCAGAAGCATCTTCTTCAGGTAATAACACCGGCAATGACCTGACGGAGTCGGACCTGGCTGCGGCTTACCAGCTTATGATGCTCAGCGACGAAGATAACAATTACAGCATTATCGGCAAGAGGAGCAGAAGCTTCGTTGACGAAGAAGAGGAGGTTGATCAAACCCTCAGCGGTCTAATCCCCGCCAGAATCAAGAAGATTTTTTGGAAAGAAGAGGTCCTTGCGACAAAGAAGCAACGGAGATATCGATCTCTCGAGCACATATATATGGCGACGACACCGATTAATGCTTGAAACCGCCAGATACAAGAGGAAGAAAACTTCAAACACCTGTGACGGTTTATTCAAACAAACTGAGGTTGAAGGCTAATCGGAACTAGGTCGGTGTCTGATTTTGATGAATCTGCGGAGAAATCCACATGATACTTTTATCAGTTCACTAAGGTGATGATCGGTTCTTTTGTCGCAGGCGTGGAGTAGGTTGGAATAATAGTTGTACTTACGTGGTCTGATGAAATATTATCATCTAATTTAGCTCCTCAGATAACTGAACATCCTGATCTTCTATCTACACACACCCACACGCACACATATGGCGACACAATGGGATGGCATTATAACAGATTACTGAAGCATTTCATAAAACGGACGGTATGCTATGTGTCAATCTCATGAAATGGGAATCATAAACAGTGTGACTTTTTAAGCACAAACCAGTTCTGAGGCTTTGTTTCTTATTTCAATCCTTTCTCCCAAATTCTATATCCCTAAACTTGACATACGCGTTCAAATACTAAAGAAATTACCATTTAGTGTAATCCAATGGTCAGAAGTGTTATATTTGACCCGATATGTGCTAAAGATAGAAATTCACTTCTAGAAATAGCACACTTGTGGGTTATTAACTCATGTTTTGTTTAATTCCAATTCCAAAAGCTTAATTATATTGGGTCCATAAAATTTTCAGCATTTCAAATTCGATGAAGTCCTTTATCACATACGGCCATTTTAGTCGCGTTTAAACTTCTGTTTGTTACATTTGGTGAAATGATTCATCAAGGGCCTTGGTTTTAATTTTACGAACTCCTTTCAACAAAAATAAAATTACTAACTCAGAATTTGTTCCTCCATCTTTCCAACGAAAGTTGGAAAATGAAACGAAATCGAAGAGATGAATTTCTTCATTGGTAGAATGATTAGAAGAAGTGAAATAATTAATGTCGTATAAATCTGAGTTGTCAGGTTAGTCTGGTCAGCCAATCTATTATACATTTATACCACAAGTAATGCCATTCAGTTCTGTAAATAAAAGGTTATTAACATTTTTTCCTTCTTTTTTTTCTTTTAATAAGGTGAGGGGAAGTTCTTTTTTAATACCAAAAAGTTTACAAAAAACGTTGAGTATTAGAACGTCATTAGGATTGGGACATGTCTTAAAGTTCAAAGAGTGTATGGACAATTATATATCAAAGAGTGTGTGGACAATTATATACTCTTGCTGCTTTTGTTTTTTTTTTTTTTTTTAAAAGAGAAGAGTAAATGTTATTGATGAAGCTTTTATAATTAACTAGAAATGTTTTTATGCATGACATGGAGGATGGAGCACTAAGTAAGACAAGTTATTGATAATAAAGTACAGTTACTGAGTTCAAGATAAATTACCCAAATCTGAAAGAACGACCAGCTACAAAAAGAAAGGGATGTAAAAAGTGAGTTTAAGTACATATATTTATATACATAATGTAATTATTTCTAACTAAATCAAAATAGGTGGATTTAAAACGCAAATTAATTAATATTAAGTGATTAAGTTTGTTCAAATTGAAAAAAAAAAAACAAATAAGTGCTCGACTTCAAACCAAGTCATTCAGGTGAGTTTGCTAGCTAAGTTTTCGACACCAAAGGAAAATCCGGGTTGAGGTCAAATTTTGACTGACCACAACTTAAGGACTGCCTTGTGGAGAAAAAAACTTAAACATGTATTCAGAAAACTTTTCTGACCAAATGCATAATTATAAAAACTAAAATCTTTTTTAACAAAAAAATTGTTGCTTTTTGTAATCAGACGAAGGAATTGATATAACACGATTAATTATATGAAGTGATGTTGGAGCCGAATCCCGTAATGAAATTCTCGTCGATTGATAATTTAAATGCAGAAATAATGAGAAGCAGCTTCGTTCTTGGCCAAACGAGGCAATTAGAAATAAGCAACAAAAAGAGAGACTTGGACGAAGTCGGAAGTGATGTCAATTCAAACCGTAAAAGTTTGAATGGGAATGGTTATTAGTGTTTATGCAAAACCCACATAAATGCGGACTAGTTTAATGGTGCTATCCTTCAAATGTGTTCTTCAATTACCAGAGCTCAATCCACCATTTAACAAAAATGGGACTCCCGGGAGGCAAGTCGTCATGGGACTGAGTGATCAGAACATGATTTCCGTCCAACAGACGAAGAAAAGCCTTCAACATCCGTAGATCAGCTATAAAAAGAATTCACTGATATACTCTCTATTAATTTAAAAAAAAAATTATACAATTTTGATATGAAAAAATTGCTAAGAAGACGCATAAATTATATCTAACCACAACCTACAGAACTTCGCCAACACTAAATCCTGAGACACTACAAAGGATAGGGAAAGTAACTAAGACGACAAAACTGCAAGGACCAAGGACGATGGCTGCAACACTTTGACGTTCCAAATTATGCGAAAACATAAGCAGATCTCACAAGGAAACAAAGCGAAGAGGCCACCGTTCTTCTAACTGAACATATACATAATGACAACACAACTCAGCTTAATTAAGCCGCTGCCCCCCTACCAGCTCCATCTGATCTAAACATGCGACCACGTCCACGGCCCCTTCCCCTTCCACGACCACGACCTGCAGAGCCTCAAAATGAATTACTAACATTTTCAAGTGAAGGAATTTGTCAGATGCAAACCACTAAAACAGAGATACAAATCAGTAACTTAAGGAAAAAAAGACAATTGCATAGAAGTAAAAACAGTTGGTTGAATTTAAATAAGGAAAGTTAGTTTCTATTCCCAGTACTATGAAATGCCAAAATACTACTGCACACATGAATTTAGCTCAACAAACTTGAAACAACACATCATTATGCCACAGCTCATATGGTACAAGCCAAAATTAAAAGCAATAGGGGCATAACAATTTATCAGTATTTGCTAGAATTTTTTTTTTTTTTTTTTTGCTTGTATATGAGACTAGAGGGGCAGTTTTGAGACCATAATATTTGCTAGAAGACTATATTTCATGGAAAAGGCTTACCACGTTGGGGAGGCAGAGGATCATATTCCCCATAATCATAATAACCAACCGACTGTCCACCATAGCCCCGTCCCCTACCCCAGAGAGTACGGCCCCTTGCACGACCACGCCCTCTACCACCATAGCCACGTCCACCATCCCAACCATCTCCATTATAGTCCATACCCCCATTATAATTTCCTAAGCATGCAAAACAGATTGTTTCCTTAAAAGCAGTTTTAAGAACCCAAAAATTATATGACAAAGCAAATATGTACGCTCATACTACATTCAATTCCAATCAAACAAGTGAACAACAAATTAGTCCGCAATACCTCTACCCCTGCCCCTGCCCCTGCCCCTGCCCTTTCCACGACCACGTCCTCTTCCTCGCATCACCGGTGTGCCCTCTGTTGCAGACCAAATTTTAGTAAGCCATGTCATATTAGCCACACAAGCCTACTGAAACAAAAAAAGAATTAAATAAATCACCTCCTTCCTCTTCATATTCAATCAAAGGTTTTACTTGATCAGCTGGGAGAGGAGGCTGGTATCTGCATGAGAGAAAACACTTAAAACTACAGCAACAGGAACAACATTTAGAAGCTCACAAACAGGACGGATCTTAAAAACTATCATATTCTCCTTGACACCAACCTATTAGTTCGGGGAAAAAAAAGAAAAAAGTAATGTCAAGTCAGTAAAGAAATCGATAAGCACAAAGTACAGTCAAATATTTCCTTGGAGACCCAGTACACACAGAGCAGACAAGTAACCTGTGAGAATTCATGGTGCGTGAGACACAAACATAATGTTGCAATTGTATCTATCGAGAGAGTGATAAATCAGATACAGCAAAATATAATGTTGCATACCACTATACTAGTTCTTACCCTGTAGAGGACTTGTCCAGTTCTTTCCTTGACAAAGTAATTGTGATCATCGAAACATGTCGAGTAGTCTCCAAACTGAGGATGCAATAATAAACAAAAAGGTTAATCCCATGGACACAAATCAATCATTTATTAGTCAGGGTAGCATGAAAAGTTTTAGCAGTTCCATACGGAAGAAGGCCCTCTTCTAGTGGCTCCCACATATCCGTTATGTCAGTTGATCCAATAGCAGTATTTTGATGCAGACCAACAACCCTTCTCTGAAGCAAAGAAACAGATCGCTCACAGAGCAAGAAAAAAAAAAATCTAACCACTTACCCATAAAACACACAGAAGCTGGCCCTCTCACCTTGATCAATTCAGTGATCATCACAGTCTTATTGATAGCTCTGCCCATTGCTTTAAGAACAATTTCCACGGACCCTTTCTCCTATAAACATACTGCCAAAGTAAGATCCATGTGACTGAGAAATATATCGGAAGCATTTAAATATTAGCCGATTCTAGATAAAGCTTGCAAGTATGGACCCTATCAAAATGGCAACTTAGTTAAAACCTAGCACTAACTAAGAATCAATGTAAACAGATTATGTATCCAAAGTAAATATCAAATTACACAAGAGTATGTTATAGCAGGAAAAAAAGACAAAAAAATGAATATCCTTTTGACAAGCTAACTATTGGGAAGTCAATATATCTATAACAAGTTGTAGAAAGCCATGCTGTTTACAGTCATGAATATTGAGGACAGTCCCAGACGCCATGCAAATCCATGGAAGCCACTGTTGTTGAATTTATTTTTTCTTCACTTAGAAAATGAAGCTAAAAGTTAAATAATATTTCAATCACAAAGTGCAAATTAAGGACACAACGAAAAGAAAGGTAAGCAATACAATTTCATATATCCCTAAAACGGCACGTATCAAGAGAGACATTAGCTACACAGGTAGTCAGGTAGTGTACTCATTATTGATAAAGTAGTGCAACCAGAAGCTAAGAGCAGCAAGGTAGTAGAATTCACAAAAGGCCCAACCACCAGTTTAAACAAGTCAAACTTAAGAAACATTGCATCTTGTCAATTTCTAGGGTTTAGACCACACGCACCAAGAGTTGTGAAACAGGATTAATCCTACTCCAACGCAAGTTCCGTGAAAAAGAAGGGCAAGTTCGGTAATCTGACAGTAAATGGGTTGGTAAAGTTAGTTAAATGCCAGGACGCCATTCAGCCTACGAAATGATTAAGATTTCACTGATCTTTCACCCACTTCTTGACAGGGAAGTTAATAAGATGTTTATGAAGAAATGATTCGCAAGGTCGAGTATATCACGTACACTTAACATAAATGGTAGGGACAGAAAGAAGCATTGGCATTCTACAAACCAATAGTTCAAGAGAGCTATTGTTTTCCCCTCAGGAAGCAACCTTCACATCAAGTTCAGCACTTAACATGTCAATTTTAAATTTTTCATATTCATTCCCATATTTGAAATTCTAAAATTTTCTAACAAAGCATCAAGCCCGCCCGAGAGGAGGAGGCTTTCTAACCAAGCATCAAGCCCACCCGAGAGGAGGAGGCGAGAAATATGGCCATCGGAGAATACCTGGAGGAGAGTGGTGGCATACGTAATATAGTTCCTCATCCTGCCTTGCGTAGTAATGCGTATCTCGTTCTCATTTATTGGAGTCTCTGCCTTTGGCTTCTCCACCCTTTGATACCTATCCATCTATTGCCAAAGCCAAAAAGGAAACCAAAGAGTACTCATAAACAAAGCATCAATGAAGTTGTTCAATAGCTAAGAAAAGTGAGAAAACCAAAATTCATGGCATAGTGGAAGAGCAGGGAGAGAGAGAGAGAGAGAGGTAAAATGTAAGGATGCTAGGGTTAAGAGAGAGCACTCACGATTGTCAATTGAGAGTGTGAGTAATGGGGATGGGAGCAAATCTATAAAGATTGGGGGGTGAAGGGTACCACTCCCTCCCTCTAATTTCCGTCTCAGTGGTAATCTCTGGGGATATAGCTTTTGATTTGAATTTAGGCCCCAAAAGGCTCTTGTGCGGTGTTGCTCCTTTATATATGGAAACCAGAACAATCTGCCTGAAGAGTAGGGCTATGAGGTCGCGGTCTTTTCGCCGCCGAGACCGCCAAACACACTGAATTAAACCCCGCCATATATATGGGCCTTTTCCCACATACAACTACCTAACGGGCCTCATCGGCCTTGTTTGTTTCTCTCTTTTCTTTGGGTTGTTCTTTTCCTGAAAATGCATTCCTCTCCCCCCCCCCTACTTGTTGATTGTCCGTAAAAATGGGTCATTTAATTTGTTCAAGAAAGCAACCCAAAAAAAAAACCCTATGTAATTGATTTGTTCATCAAAGAGCATAATTTGTTCATTTCCCTTTTTATTCTTTGCTAGTTGATTGTCCATGGAAATGGTATATTTAATTTGTTCTAGAAAGCAGCAAAAAGGGAAATAAAGGGCAATTTTGATTACGTATTGTCCATAAAGTATGTGCTCACTGCTGGTGATGACATCGTTTTAGACCGGAAAATCATCCAGCACAAGACAAGCAATAGAGGTGAGATGGGTTTTATTGCTATTAAAGAGGATCTAGGCACACACATTGACTATTTGAAATGGTTTTCAGCCAGACTCGTTGAAAGACGTTGGAATTCAATGCCTTTGTGGGGAGGTCCTTCGTTTGACGAACTTTATCAAAAAATTTTGGAAATCATCGTTAAAATTAGACCTTTTCAACTAGCGTTTTGTAGTAGCAATATTTTCCGGAGCATTCAAGTGATAAAAAAAGTCTATCTAATCTGCTGAGTAGGAGGATTCTCAGAGTTACCACACATACTAGAGAGATACAGAGCAGGCGACTTGTTAGAAAACCAGACATTATATCTAGATGTTGGCAACGGACAAAATACAAAATAATAGTGTTCTCACTCCAAGAGGATTCACGACATACAATAACTACCCATTTAGATGTGCCGTCAAGATATCCGAGGTTATTGAAGAGCACAAGAGGCACGGAATATACTAATCAAACATCTTGTGCATATTGAGCCTCCAGGGGCGCACGAGCAACTTCAGAACAAGGAACATGAACCAGGGTGTAGCAATACTTATCTGAATCATCTTTACATATTATCACTCCTTTTTTTTTGGGGGTGAAATACATCTTATCACTTTTAAGTTTTCCAAAAGGGGTTAATTATTTTTAAACAATCTTAACCATCAATTAATGAAGACAACTTATTTTAGACATTATCATAGTAGTAAAGTACTTCCTCCGTTCCTTATTATAAGAGACAAATAACCGAATTACGTTGATAAAAAAAACAATTAAAATTAGTTAAGAATAATCAATGTGTAAAAAGTATAATTTTTTTCCCCAAAAATACCCTCATTAATAAGAAGAGAGAACATGAGAGAGAACAATGATAAATTATTAAAAGAAAGAGAAGTAGGAAGTAGAAAGAGTATGAGTTGGAGACAATAAATATGAGTAAAATAAGAAATCAACACAAAAAAATAAAGACAACTTTTAAGTGTCTCTTATATATAGAAACATGCCATAAACATCAAATGTCTTTTATAATAAGGAACGGAGAGAGTACCATTATATTTTCATACTAATGATTTCAACAGAGCAATCAATTATCAGACAATATTAAAGGGGTTTCCAATAACCTTAATACTAGAAAATTGCTTAAAGAGGATTGCAATATCGTTAAAGAGCACACTTCGATAAGCAAATGTGTTGGCTGTCCAGCAAATTCTCTCTCTATGTACATAAAACCACTTCTGCGTCATACACATAAACCAAGAATATAAAAAGGCCGACAAGGCATCGCACAACGTTTTTACACCGAGATGCAAGATGGCACAACAAATCATAAGCATCACCATCTGGACATGATAATTTCTCTCACCATCCATGATACTGTTCAACGATCAAAATCGATAGAATTGGACCTCGATTTGTGAAAACTAATGAGCAAATCATGAGACTGCTATCGTCAAACACGGCGAGTCCAGTCTTCAAGCTTCCGGTTTAAACCTGGCTCCATATAGCCCGGGCTCCTACAACACAAACCATTTCTTTAAAAATACCAGATTAAACCATGCGAAAAGTTAGCTAACAACACACAATGAATATTTACTACAGCATTCTTGCGGGGTCCATCTGCTAGTAACTCGTAATGTTAACACCAGAAGCTATGACTAATGAAATGGGCATCTCCAATTAAACATGATTTACTTCTACCATCTAAGGCTGCCCAATTGTTTTAACAGTATTCCTATTTGTTATTGAGTAGCTGCTATATAACAAAAAGAAACCGCAGAAGTACAAAAACTATAGGTAAATGATAAAAAGACTATCAAAGTCCGCAGAGGATGACTGCAATGTAGACATCTCGTTAATCAGCCTCTACAAAGGATTCCTCAATCCTTTGTAGCATGACACCAAACAGATAAAGCAAACATCCCCACATATAAAAACCAACAAATCCGAAGATAAAAGAAAGGAAGAAAACTCGACACATGAAATGAATTACCATGAAAATAGCCGAAATCAACCTGCGTGCAAACCATCTCATGTGCATAGCTCGTTGAGCAGCACTTGCTGCTTCCACTGATTCAAACCGCAAATACACAAATCCTGCACTTCTGTATTGGAGACAAATAAATCAGGAAATTGCAACTCATATGCACTAAGTGTAAAAGCCAATAAAATTGAAATACTCAGGACCATTCACAGATGACTATTAAAAACATTCATTAACTTACTTGTCCACATAAATATGCTTCACCCGGCCAAATTTAGAACATTCCTCTTCTACATCCTCCTTAATGTCAATATCAAAATCTGGTTCTGTCTGCAGTAAAATTCAATATGAGTACTTAAGAAAATGAAACATCAGTGGGAGAAATTTAATCAGTTAGTCAAAAACCTCAGTGGTAGGATCAAACATATTCTTCAACAGTAGACACTCGCTAGGGCTTCCCGCAGGTTCCACTACAGTGGAAGGCACGATTTGTGTTGGGGGAGTTGGTGTAGGCATTAAACCAGGAGCACTAGGCAAACTAACAGACTGTTGAGCAGGAAATGACCCATTCACAATGGGCACACCAGCGGACCCTCCAATGCTGTGCAATATAGAATATTTGTCAAGCAAATGAAGAAGTTGAACCCCAAGAACAACCACCCCCCCTCCCCAAAAAAAAAAAAAAGAAAACCAAAAAAAAAACGACAGAAAAAAAAAAGGAAATCTTATAGTAAACCTTGTGGCAATGCCAGATCGATCCAGCTTCTGCATAAGCAATGCTCTAGATTGAGCATTTAAGGTCTGCATAAAGAAGACAATTCGTGAGCAGAGATGTACTGTTGAGAAGAGGTTACGATATTGTACGAGGCAAAAAATTCACCAACATCAACATATCACCGAAAAAGGGAGGAAAATGACAAGCAGCACTCCCCGGACCCCAAATAAAACGGAAATGAGGTTTTCAAATAGAAGAGAGATGTCATTTTCACACAGAAGAGAAATGCCAACAAGGGGACAGAAGCAAAAGATGCATAAAAAATAGTCTGATTTGAATCGGACCAAAGAAGAAATATTGGAATTACCCAATATTGACCTAATTATATTGGATCTTGAAAAACATGTCATTAATCAAGTTTTCCATCTCAGAATATTTGTTCATCTTTATTTGTGGTGTTACACCAAAGAACTAATCCTGTCTTCTGCATTTATTGACTATAACTAAAAGAGAGTAAGAGTGCTCAAAAGCACTAATACATCAATGCACCTATCTATCACAGAGTAATGATCTTGTCATCCGTCTGCAATATTTATAGCTAGAATTGTTATGGTTATTGATGAACTATGATACAAACGAAACTTCCAGCCAATCATGCCTCTAACAACCTGAAAAAATAACCAACCAGGCTAAATTTTTAGTAACTTCATATTAAATATAAGTGTTATATTATATGATGAGATGAAGAATTTGATAACTCATCTTTGGGAAACAAACTTTCCTTATCTCAACTTACCAATCCACCTTCATCGTCATCAAAGTCTGCAGTTTTCGCATTTGTATCTTGGCTTCCAACATGATCTGTCACACATGAAATCTGTGCACAATAAAAAGCATTAGTCGAGAGCAGTAGGACAAGCAAAGTGACTGCCAATAAAAGCAAACTAACATAAGCCAGAAATATGCATAGACATGGAATGAAGCATATCTACCTTGATAGCCCGACCAGCAATCTCCAGTTTTCCATTTAAACTCTGGGCTGCTTTGGCATGCTCAAGATGAGCAAACTGCTCAAGAATCGGCACAAACAAAATAAATAACAGTATCACAGGAAACCATCATTCTCAAGAAAACCAATGCAAGGCAACTCACTTGAACAAAGCCAAAACCCTTGCAATGTCCTGTCTCCAAGTCAGTAGGGAGTTGCACAAGCTCCACCGGACCAAATGGCTCAAAAATCTGAACCAACAATTAAAAAAATTGATTTTAATCAAGGTATTAAACCAAACCGATAATTGAACCATTCAAGGAATTTGTTAGCAGTTCAATGATCAATGATCATTAAAGTAATATTTGAACTATATACTAACTATTTTAAACAAGAATGATTAAGAATAATAGAAAAAACATATACAAATTGATTTCAAATAAAAACAATAAAATGAATTGACTTTAATTTTAAAAAATATATAGACACCAATCCACAGTTACTGTGGAACTGCAAAGAGTGAGACAGCAAGGACAGAAATAGAACCACATACTTCCCTCAGCTGACTCTCTGTCATGTTGAAATGAAGGTTTCCCACATAAAGTTTCCTGTCTACTGCTCCATATGGTCCCGCTACACCTGCAGCTCCAGTGGAAGCATTAGGCTGAACAAGGTTCTTTTCAGCTTCTGAAGGTTTGACCATTACAGGTTGTCCAAGAAGCAACTGGCCAGAGAGAGCAATTGCCATTGGCACTGACATTGCATCATAAAATTCAATATACCTGCAGCCTCATCAAGAACTTGCATCAAGTTTTCAGAACTACAAAGTACAAATGGTTGCAAACAAAACTTACAATGCATACAGCAAAGAGGTGTAGGGAAACAAAAACTCTAGTGCAGACAGCTCAAGCTGAGTTTCTTTTGATGTATCTGACTCATGTGAAGAAAAGGTTAGCATGTCACTGTTAAAAATAAAATTAAATCACACACAATTAATTAAGAGAATAAATAAAGAGGAACCATAGTCATTGAGGATCAGGCAATAAGGTAACCAGATACTCATCTAGTTCGCTTAAATATGTGCAAGTGTGCAAATTATCCCATGAAAAAGGCCCCAACTAGAAACTAGCCTAGTATGGCAAATCACCCATCAACTAATACCAAAAATTAAATAACACCAAATCACCAAACCCAAGCATCTCTTCTAGACGCTCACCATCCATCACCTTCCTTCAAAATTAAAAAGGAAATAGAAGACTATAAAATCTCCTACAAATACATGACCCTCAAACATATTAAAAATAACCCAACAGCTTGCATAGGAGACTTTGAATTCATAGAGGGTGGAAATACAATGGACATTCTCATTAACATAAGAATGAAACTCTCACTGTAAGGCATATGTAGAGGAGGAAAACTAGGAAAAGGACCAAAAAGAAAACCAGGATTATGTCATCTACCTTGGGTACGCAGCATGAATTGATTAAACATGAGTGCATGGTATTCCCATCATCCCTCATCATTATCGCAATGCTAGTCCATTTAAGAATACAGTTAAACAAAATTCTTGGAATTTGATATATTAATACCACTATAGCAAACGCATATAAATAAGGAAATATTAGGTAATCAAGGACATACCCAACTCCCTTAGACCGTCTTGAATTCCGATCCATGATGAGACGGACATCCCTCACCTGAAAATAAGGAACATTAGAATTAGAATTAGAACAACACACAAATGAGGAATTATCACATGGTGGTGGAAGATGTAAGAAATCACCCTAAGCATGCAAACACCTTAATGTGTTCAAGGTACGATCATTTATCTCATCCACTCACCAGATGTGTAAATTGTGAGACATAAGAAAGTAATTGTGCTAGTCAAAACAGAAGACAAAGGAGGATTGGCTGCAAAACAACCAAATGTCTCTTAAGAACATGTATCTATCACGGTTATATTTGACTGCTCAATCTGAGTCATAAATTGAATAGCATCAATCTAGTAAACTCAAGATATAAGATAATAACAATTACAACAAAAGCACTGTCTGCTTGGGAAAAGAAACAAATGCAACATAGAACTCAACCTTAAACATTTCATCAAAAGTCAGGAAATTTTAAAATCAACTGACCTTCCCAGATTTTGAAAAAAATTCATAAACATCTCTCTCTGTGGCCTTTAAGGGCATCTGCAATTATCACATGGTAAAGTGGCAATCATCAGAAACAAATTAAAAAGATCCAAAACAATCAGACCTCAAATCAAAATTTCAAACACAAACATATAAAGGTCAATATCATCAACCTGGTAAGCAAAAACAGTTCTCTGATCCCTTTCTGGATCCGCCTCAGGCTCCGCAGCCTCTTTCTTGTCTCGGAATCTCCTACAGCACAAGTGAAAAATTCAGCTATAAGGAATAAAGGTACAGAAAAGTTCATCTCATTTTAATTTGACATCCATATAGAATCATATATAGCCATAATTTCCAAATCCACATTCCTAATATTAGAATCCAAATGGAGACTTGGTCTTCCAATGGATTTCAGGTTATCTCTGCCGCAGCACTTCTAAATGTTCCTTGTTGATATTGGAATCCAAAACATCAATTGATCTCCCGATATCTACGCATCATATTGAGCTAGAAAAGCAACACTAACTCAATCACAATGGATTTTCACATCATAACTCCACTATGAATGCTGCGAAATCTCAAAATACTACACCTCAACTAATTTATGATAGTGCGCTGCAACAGTCTACACTAAAAATGCTATGTATGACATATACATCCTACTCAGTTACCAGGGTGAAGGCTTATATTTCAGCTATGCGAACATCGTAATTAGAATATTAACATGGCTTAAATGCATAAATTTGGTATTCAAAGCACCAGGGTCGCAAAAAGCATAGGATTGTGTATTGAACGGGGAGGATGAACAGACACAATCTAGTCTCGTAAAGGATATGCTTTAATTAGCAAGCTTTCACAGTTTAGCTTATGTGAAAATACATTTTTTATTTTTTTCAAAACAAATTCAACACACGCTTGCTTAGCACAACCACATACCAAACTGTAGGAAAAATAAAATTCAGGAACGGCAACATATGGTTTAACTTAGGTCCTTAGCTCAGCAGGTCGATAGCGAATAATGCTCACAATTCATAGGGACTACTCGCCCAAGAATTAACAAGAACAAAATCAACCAAAAAATAAAATAACGCAGATATGCCAACCAAGGCGAATGCAGTAAAGGCCAATACCGGCTATCTCTAATTTCCGGTTCTCGTTCTCTCTCTCTCTCTCTATCAGAACGACTTCTGCTTCTCCTGAACCTCTCTCTCTCCTCCTTCTCCCTTTTCACCCGTTCTCTTTCCCTCTCTTTGTCCCTCTCCCTCCCTCTTTCTCCATCCCTCTCCCGCTCTTTGTCTCTTCTTTCTCTATCCCTCTCCCTATCCTTATCCATCCCTTTGTCTCTCTCCTTCTCTCTATTACTCCTCTCTCGCTCTCCCTCCTCGTCCCTCTCCTTGCCACTCCTATGGCGCTCCTTTTCGCGGCCAGGTCGTTCTCTGTCGCGGTCATCACGATCCTTCTTTGACCCATTCTCCTCGTCTCCTCTGGTCTTCTTGCTCTTATTTTCCTCACCATCCAGATTCTCATCTACCTCGAGCTTTCTGTAACTCCTTTCACCTTTCTCGCTGCTCTCCTTCATCTTCTTCTTCTTCTTCTTCGAATCTCGATCTTCCTGCTCCTCCACTGTCTTCTCCAGGTAATCGTATTCGTCAAAGTCCATTGGTTCTTCCAAATTCATTCCCGAAGCAAATTTTAGCTCGAGGAATAGACCGCTTAAATGATATAAAATCCCTGTGTGCTGAGAACTGTAAATGCTTCAAGGTGATTGATTTCAGGGTTTTGAGGTTTGCTCGTCTTGGATTGGAAGAAGAAGAGCTGTGGTTGGTCGCCTCGCGCTCTGTGAATTTTGATCTATATGTTTCGTTTCAGCAATATGTGCGCGTCTGGCGGGTCTGGATGGATGGTGTTCAATTTATTACCAAAAAATATCCCAAAAATATATGCTGTCAGCTTTGCTAATTTCACGAAACATGACCGCGCCGGAATTTAATTGAGAAAATGACCCAAAAAAACGGCCGAAATAAAAAATTTATAAATAAGGATCCATAACAATATTAATATGGGTTTTAATAATAATAGTATAGGTTTTGATAACAATTTTTATAAACTGATCCTTTTGTATAATTTTTCTATTTCAACCATCTTTTTTTACCATTTTCCTCATTTAATTTATCGCTATAATTGATGTAAATAAATTATGTAAATTAAATTAAATTATATTATATTATATGACCTCCTGTTCTTAATATAAAAGCTTATTTAACTTTTATTTTAGTCTTAAATATAAGACTCTAATCCACTTTGTCTCTCATATCTATCCATTTCTTTTTATGATAGTTTTTATAATAATAGTAATTCCAGCCAATACGTTTGATTAGTAAGGATATTTTAATAAAGACAATATCTATTTATTGTAAATAACCAACTTAACTTATTTCTTAAATCTACTCAAATTAGTCAACTAATTTTATATTCAGGATCGAAGGTAGTATAAGAGCTAGTTGACTAATTTGAATATATTAAGAAAATTAGTTAAGTTAATTATTTATAATAAATTAGTATTGTCTTTCTTAAAATATCTTTTTTGATCAGGTTTATTGGCTAAAACTATCATTATTAGAAGAATTATTTTAAAAATGAATAAATATAATAAACGAAGTAAATTGAAATCTTATACTTAAAACTAAAACAAAAGTTAAAGTTCAAACGAGATCTTATATTAAGAATTGAAAGTAGTAATATTTATTTGCCCACAGAGTTAATCATGAATGATGTGAAGAAAAATGTTTTTTTTTCCTTCAATAATATCATTTGATGATAGTATAAATGAATTTTTCTAAAAGAACAGAAGACAAGGGCAGTATCCAACTAGGTTTAACAGGGAAACAAGGAAAGAAAATTGTATTTGCGAAAACTAAAATAAAATATCACCAAAGCTTTCATTCTTTAGTTTAAAATGCGAACCTGAGCCATTTCATCTTCATTTAAAGTATCAGTTCGGAAATTGTTATAAAGCTTTTAGCTATTCAAATACAATTTTATTTTAGATTTAATTCCTCAAATTTCAAATCACAGGTTTTTTATTCGTAAAAGGAAAAAATTGTTTAAATTTTTATTGAATTATAAGAACCAATGTTATAGATAAAAAGAAAATTAAAAGAGTAAAATCTATTATTTAAAACTTGAAAGATTAAAACTAAAATAAATACAAACCAAAGTTTGAATTAACCCTTAAAAAAAGATGCATAATACCATTACAGATTACCCCATCTTCTCACTCTTCTTACTCCTCCAACTGGAAAACCAAAACTACAAGCTATTTCATTTCGCTAGTTTTATGATAACTTCCAAAGGGTGATCAACTAAAATCTTTTATTCGCTCACTAAATTGTATTTAAATTATAATATCCAAAGTCCGCAGTTTTTTAGAAGATAAATAAAAACATAACATATTTCTCAAATACTTTTTCAAAGGGAAGTCCCCAGTTTGGCAATTTAAATTTAGATCCGTGTCAACATGTAAAGAATTTTAAAAAGGACATAATTACGTAAAATAAATAAACTTTAATTATCAAATAAAACCAAACTCACCCCATCAACCCATGAGAGAAATTCCAGAGCCCCCCCGCCCCCAAAAAAAAAAAAAAACTTGCGCCACAAACTCGCACCATTTATTTTAAAACGATAATTGAATTAACATTAACGGGAAAAAAAAAACGTGGGATAAACGGAACCACCCTCCAAACCCGGCTCATTTTTCCAAACTAGTCGCTACTTCCCATCGAGAAGAAAAACTAAAAACTCAGAAAGTGATGTTGACCACATTGCAGTAGAAGTCCCTACTTCCCTAACATTGAATTAGATAGAAGAACCCAAAATACTGGAGAACAAGTCGTGTTCTGGACTGAACCGAATCACGAATTGACAATGGGGAGAAGAGCATAACTCCACAATGACCATTAAAATGGAGCCTTTAATTAAATTATCATAGTTTGTTCATCTGTCCAATGTCGAGAGGGGGTGGAAGAGTGAAGAAAAAATGAGTCAATACACACCATAAAGATTCAAGCTCTATGTCACTTCCATTTGAACACAAACTGTAACATCAGACAAAACCATGCTCATTTACATCGACTACGTATCCTTGACTTGAAAAGGCCTTTAACCTAATCTGCTCATAGGGATTCTGTCATTCACTCGACCAACCCTTTGCACAGGAGCGATCGTTTGCGGCATGGTCATTCCCCCAGAAACAATTATTTCTGCATCAGCATCAATATGATTGTCATTGCACACAATTAAGATATTGGGTAAGTGATGAATGTGCCAAGTAATGTGTTTGACTCCTAAGAACTTTAAAAACATTATTTTCAAAGTGTGACTTCATTACATCACTTAAAAATACAATCTTCCACAATTTTTTCCCCTGGTAAGAGAATGACAATTATGAAGTTAAGAAAATTAAAAAGGATCACAGAATTTGCATTTGTATTTACCAACAATTCTTCGTTCAAGAACAAAAGATCAAATGGGGTGGGATGTCTTGTATATATCACGTTATGTAAAACATACCTATGCCTTCTCGAATGGAAAGATTTGGTCTTATTATATCTTTGGAGTTAACCAGAAAAATGTCGCCGATGTACAGATGGTTTGTAGGGACAAAAACACTACATAGCTCTTCATCTTCATTATCTTTCTGAAAAGAAGAAAAAAGAGAGATAAATCCAAAGGTTAAATTTGCAAAACAAAACAGATAAATCACAATGGTTTCCACCCATCAAAATGATTATGCACCAAAATGGACACCAAAAACAAAGAGCAACGAAATCCATTTAGGCTATAAAGAGCTAAAAGGGAACCCCAAGTTTTGATTTTTGAACACTAAAACAGCAATGGTAAAATAAAGTATTACTGACTCAAGATAGCAAGCACTAGACGTAAACAAACGTGTTTATATAGCACGTTAGTATGTCTGTCCATGATGGAAGACTGCACCCCAACAAGTATGTTTTCCTTTTTCAAATGACAACCCTATATTACATAACTAGGCCCCCCTCTTTTCAAATGCCATCTTATTTAAGATCATTCAACTATATGATCTAATGGTGAGGTGACCACTCATTGTACAGGAGGGGGGTGCGGACAACCAAAATTACATGCATACTAAATATATAGCTCAATCAAAGCAATAAAACCAAAAGCTATGCATGTTAACTTTTTCATAACCAAAGAGCAGGAACTCAAATGTCCAATTTAAATATGATGGGGCCTGGCATATAGATTAAGAGAGAGTGAGAGAATGAGGAATACCTGTAGGGTGACAGTTGATGTAATAAAGCCAAAAGCATACTCGCCAACACGTGGATGACGAATAATTGCTACCTCTTTGAATGCTGTCGTGTTTTGATCTGTAAGATGATAAAATTTCATAACAAATAGTCGCAGGCTCACCACCAATATTCAGTAATGGTCACTCTATCAGCAATATAGGCTAGTAACAACTCAAATATAGGTGAGAGATAGGGGAGTGAATTCCAACTGCACATGCGAGCATACCTGGAGATATGGCAGCACTAATCTGCTTGGATGCTGAGTAGATATGTCTGACAAAAGGCATTCGCTTAATGACCCATTCTCCAACCCAGATGACGGTTGCACCCATCCATGATGAAACAAAAACGCCAACAAGAAATACAAAAACTAAAGATGTAACAAAACCAAGTCCTGCACCACAAATTGAAAAACCTTTGAATTATAACTCGACATTCAGAAGAGCAAGGACAAAGAACTATTCCTACATCACCAAATGAACAGAAATAAGAAGAGTACAAAAGAATGACAAGTTATTACACAACGCACAACTGGGCGTTAACCTGTCTCAAAACATATTTATTTAACAGATGCATCCTTTAGGTGTTGATACACTTCCTTGGATACCATCCATACCACTAATGGCCAAAATCAATTCAGTAATAGAAAACAAAAAGAGAAATATATCAGACCGTGCACAAAAGTAATTAATGGTTAGTCAGCAAACTTAACTCTTCCCTTGACTCCATCACACAGCAAAAGTAACTCGCAAATTATTACAATGACCATTTCTTTTCAGTATGGCAACAAAGAACAGTCACCATTAAATCCAATTTTACAATTCAACTGTCACTACACAAAAAATGAGAGGAACAATAATTTAAATTCATCGTCTTCTCATTCTGTCATTCAGATAGAATTGTCATGCATTATTCTAAATTAACTTGCTATGTTTAAACATATAGAACAAAAAAATTCCTCTCGATTATGCAAAAATTTTCGGAAAGACAGTTGCATCAGTTAGAGATATCGTTAATCAAAGGAAAAATAAATAACTCACCAAATATGTCAAAGCCAAGCCTGGAGTATAATGGGCTGAAGAAACCATCAACAAACTGGATAAACCACCATGTTATGAAAAAGGTAACCGCAACTGGAAAAAGAACTACACTGCAAATTCAAAATTCAGAATGATTAACAAGCCAATGATACTGATAGCAGTGAGTCATCTCAGTAAGTTTATTGCGTTACCATCCAGTCATAAACTTCTTTGAGACCCAACTTTGTAGGACAAAGCAGCAGGCCTGAAGCAAGAGCACAGAGAGAGTCAAGAGTTTAATAGCAAGACAACAATGATAGATAATCCATCGGCCTACAAACACCGTGAATTCTACTCTAGAAGAAAAGCTTAAGCGCCAAGGAAACAAGGGACAGGTTCTCAGCAGCTATTCTTTGACAGATGAAGGTCCTCAATCTCCACCCCCTTCAGACACGTCACAGAAACGTTGTCTTCCAAGTTTCCAACGAAAGACATCGGCCTATAGAATGCGTGGAGCACCTGATATATTTGCATTATATGAAATGCTTGTCCACTCAATCTACCAAAGTCGGACCGACTAAAACGGGAATGATGATGGGCCAAGAAAATAAACATGCATCTGGAGTTGTCAGCGTTCAATCATATAAAGCGTTAATCTCTGGTCAGAGAATCACGAAGTAATAATAACATGAGTTTTCATTAGATTGTCTTCGATGCTGCAAGTGAAATGGACATTCTGGAAGAAGACACCAGCACACCTTTGAAGTTCAATGGGAAGCCCCAGTTTTTTGTTAATTCAATCTACTGCTTATTGAAATGTAGAAAATGCATATCTATGGTTCAATTTTCGGTGCTGCTGGTCTGAACTCATCGTAGCCGCAACAAAATCGCGGATTTGGAGAACAGGCATATAATCTGGGCCGTGAGTGCCCTAGTGTATTTCCGAAACAGTTAGCGAACCCAGATAAAGATGATTCCGAATACAAACGACGCCGCTGGCTCCTTGGAATTTCGGCAGTCGAAAGATACAGGCAATGAACAAGTCAACGGGGAAATAAGAAAAAATAGAGAGGAAATTTGAAGAGGGAAAAGTGGGTGAATTAAACAAACCTTGCGGGTAGATGAGTTGGGAGACGAAGGGGGGGACTTGGCTGGATCTTCGGGATCCTCAGTAGCCGCATTATCAGCTTGACTGAGAGGTACAGAAGTTGGATCTTTTTCTTCGGCCATCTCCGATTCTTCTCTGCTCTCTCTTCAGTCGCGGACGGCAATTTCCAGGAGAAGCGAAGCGACTTGATAGAATGATCAAATTTGGTAGGTTTAAGATAGGGACACAAACTGGTTAGACTCTTATGAGCATGTTGGATTGGATTGCAAGCAAGCCTCCCGTTTGCATCGCTAAGCAATATCGAAACTCACGTGGCAGGCCAGGAAGGGAGATCCGCCCCCGCCCCAAATGGTTCCTTCAACCACACTACGATTCTTCCACAGTAACAGGAGTTAACGAAAACAAAAATTTTTGCTGCCGCCTTGAGTTGCCGATCTAAAGTGGTTGGAGGAGTGATGGGATATTATTATGATGCAGCCGGATTACATAATTAACACGTTAGTATTTTTACCAATTTTTTGCATAATTTTTCCATTTAACTCGCGGGAGGGAGGTTCTGGGATAGTGGGATTCATCTTAATGTGCCCGCATAATACCTTTATGGCTTTATTGATTCCCTTATGGGGAAAAAAAAAAACTTCTAAATTATCAATTAATGAAATTCTCTAATTAGACGTGAGATTTTTCGGGGGAAAAGGGCCATGAGATTCAACCCAATGCGTACTTACAGGTCATTTCACTTTTTTGTGGTTGATGGATAAACTATTTTGTGTGTGTTTGTGTGTCTGCGGATTCACTGCAATTTCCCCGTTAAATTCAAGGTGCTGTCTTGATATATTCAGTAATCAACCTGCTCTTCTGATTATTATTAGATCTAATACAGACGATTCTACGGTCGCTGCGTATATATGTGCCAATGTGCATAAACATCCTAAAAAGGATGCGTATATTCAAATTTTGACTAATTTTTATTAATGCAGATTAATTATTAAAGCTCAAGATCTTCTGTTAATCATGTGCTTCAATATATTATACTATATCCGGTCCTAATTACTCCTCCGGTCCTTATTATAAGACCCCATTTGACTTTTTATTTGGTCCTAATTACAAGACCTCAATCCATTTTGTTACTTATATTTATACATTTTTTTCTAAGATAATCCTTCTAATAATGATAGTTTTAGCCAATATACTTAATTAGCAAGGATATTTTAGGAATGACAACACTTATTTATTATAAATAACCAACTTAACTTACTTCCTTAATCTCCTCAAATAAGTCAATTGGGTCTTATAATTAGGACCGGAGGAGTATAAGACCCAATTGATTAATTTGGAGAAATTAAAGAATTTAGTTAAGTTAGTTATTTGTAATTAATAAACGTTATTTTTCTTAAAATATCCTTACTAATCAAGTTTGTTATCTAGAACTATTATTATTAGAAATATTATCTTAAGAAAAAATAGATAAATATGATAGACATAATAGATTAGGATGTTATATTTAGGACTAAAATAAAAATCAAATACTCCTCCGGTCCTTAATATAGGAGCCAATTCTTGAGTTGGTTTTGGTCCTAAATATAAGACCCATTTATCATATTTATCATTTTTCTCTAAATTATCGCTATGGATACTCCCTCAACCATAATCAAGTAGAAGAGGGAGAGAGGGTATTAAGAAAGATGATTATGGTATTTCAGGAAAAATGTGTCACTTTTCTTATAATTAACTAACTTACCTAACTTCCTTAATCTAATCAAATTAGTTAAATGGGTCTTATATTAAGGACCGGAGGAGTAATATCTTATATTAAGTACTCCTCCGGTCCTAATTATAAGACCCAATTGACTTATTTGAGGAGATTAATGAAGTAAGTTAAGTTGGTTATTTATAATAAATAAGTGTTGTCATTCCTAAAATATCCTTGCTAATTAAGTATATTGGTTAAAACTATCATTATTAGAAGGATTATCTTGGAAAAAAATGCATAAATATAAAAGACAAAATGGATTGGGGTCTTATAATTAGGACCAAATAAAAAGTCAAATGGGATCTTATAATAAGGACCGGAGGAGTATTAAGGATGGAGGTAGTAATCATTTTATTCGTATTGTCTTATCCTAGTCTACACGTTTTTAACAAGTGATTCTACAAAAAAACTAGAAATACTCAGCTTCTATCATTTGGTCAGCGGTTGCGTAGTCGAACGAGATTTGATACAATCACATGGGTTGGTTTTTCTCTTTTTCCTGTTTTGCATGTTGATGGGATTTTGTTTCTTATTATGTTGAATTAACATTTACAAAGTCAGCTCAATCTCTTTGTATATAAAAATCCTCTCTAAATTAACGGGTTTAGATCTAAAAAAAGAGGTTAGTTCTTCACAATGTGATAAATTAAAGTTTAAATCCCAATTAAGAGAGCTACTTATATTTAGTGTCTGATTGTACTTCGAATATGATTGCTTCTTACTAATATTTTAGTAAAAAAAATAAAAATAAAAACTCCTCTCTGAAATGAAGAAAAGCAGAGCGTATTTTGCGTTGTGCGGCCCAATATGCACGAGAAACGAGCTGAGTTCTCTTAGGCCCTGTTTGGATAACACATAAAATCATGGTTTTGAGACCCAAACCATGGTTTGGGTCTCAGACTTGCCAAACACCCAGGAAAAAACAGAAACCATGGTTTTGGATCAAAACCATGGTTTGGAGCTCAAAACCATGGTTTCAGAAGAAGTGAATTCATTCTGCTTCTGGCTCAAATGGGAGAATATGATTGTACCTGTAAAGTAGATCTCAACGATAATATGATTTTAACATTCCTCAATTATTTTTTTATAAACATATTTAATCTTATATTTTATAAATATATATACATATTAATTATATTATTTTATATATTATTAATTATGTTGGTAAAAAAATATATTATTATCAATTTTATTTTTTCAAATTAAAATATATTATAAAATCTATCTTTTATGTAATTATCATATTAACTTATACATTTTTTAGTAAAATTTGTACATATAAAAAGTTCTTCTGATAACAACTATCCAAACACTCTCATTTATCATGATCACTTTTTCACAAAATCTATTCTTCACAAAATCTATTTTTTCCAGAATCTATTCTCCAGAAGCTATTCTCCAAACCATAGTTTGGTTTCATCCACTCTCATTTAGTCTTTTGATTGTATCAAGCTTCGCTTGCCTCTGCTAATTCAAAAACAAAAAACAAAAAGTACATTTTGCATTCATACCCTGCTTCTCGTCTCTACCACTTCGTGGCGCCCAATTGCAATCACCAAAATTGACCGGTTCGTTTGATTAGACTTATAAACTCATTTGCATTTACTTGCAAGTCAGTGACCCCTGTTGCACAGAGTGATCAAACGTCATTTAGGATTAAAACGTGGATAGATCTCGCCCAACGGCCACTTCTAATGATTCTGGGATAATATTTTTTATGTCAAATAAAAAATCTTTTGCATGAGTTGGATTTTTCTTCTTCTTCTTCTTTTTACCTTAAGGCCAGTCAGACTTTTAACTTTAAGCAGCTATCTTAATCAGATTCGCTCTACACATAACGATTTTTTTCCTTCAAAATTAGTACGGAGGATTACATCCTTCGTGAACTAATTTGCGAAATGGTCATGGCCCTTTATCTTCTTTTTTTCAAATATATATTTATGATTTTAATTAATCCGATTTAATAAGCGAAAGACTTTCATGTATGCATTATCATCAAATACAAACGTATAAACCATTGCAGATAGTTTGTACCCGCTTAACAAAGTGCTTTTTTTTTTCCCGTTTATTTGTGTCTGAGTAGGACTTTACCCAGTGAATTTAATTAGGATCACAAACACTCGTTTTGAATATGTGTTTCCAAACACGGGGAGTCTGTTACATCTTTTTATCCTGGTTATAAAATCATCTATCATAACTTTAATTCACGCAAAACACATTATTTTTTCCCGAACACCATTTACTTCGTTCGTAATCTTCAGTTACGTTCTCCGATTACACATAATCTGGTCCCAATAGGGTTGTATTTAGTGTTTTTTTGCCGCTTTCATTCTGTTCTGGTGTCAATTTCAAGGTCGTGCAATTCACATTATTTATAGTATTGGTACCATCTTCGTTGTTTTACGCTGAGCGTAAGTTACATTGTTTAACCGATGAATTACAAGACTGAAAAAGATATCTTGTTCTTCAAAAATTGCATCTCCTCTCTTCCGCGGATTTAGAATTTAAAGAGAAATTCTGGAATCTAATTCCACGGCCAAAATATAAGAGGGATCTGTTGCGAGAATGCTGCACTGCAGCTTGCGATGATAAATTGGTCATGTCATGAACTCTTTTGCGTAGTTAGTACTCTCATAGCGCTTTTTTTTTTTTGGGGGGGGGGACTGATGGTTAATCTCATAGTTTTTAAAGAGAATTACAGTCAGGTCATAATAAAAAAAAATAATTATTAAAAAATCCTAACAACAATCTAAGTAGCATGTAATGACAAGTTTCAGAATAGAAAATAACAACTCATGGAACTTATTTTGTAATTATTTTTCTTCTTTAAAAATTTATTGTAATTTTTCCTAGTTTTTATACACCGGTAACACGCACATTACTCAGCCGGGATAATACCTTAATTAATTTTATTCTTGAATATATAAATTTTTTATACTTTAGAAAAGTCAATGCACAGTTTTTATAAATAATTTAGGGTTAATTAATCCGCAAGTCCTTATATTTTCAATGAATTTTGAATTAGGTCCCTATAGTTTTTTTTCTTTTTATCAGGTCCTTATACTTTTACTTTTTTTAATTAGATCCTTGTATTTATTTTTCTTTTAATTAAGTCCTTATAATTTCACTAAATTTTTAATCAGGTCCATGTAGTTTTAATTTTTATTTATTAATTAAATATAAGCTTAATTAAATAGAGTAATAATGAAATATAAAATATTAATAATTAAAATTAAATTAATAATTATGTAATAAAAAAGTAATAGAATTAATTAATTCAGGAAATTTTTTTAGAACAATTAATTTTTTTGCTGAAAAAATTAAAATCATTATAATAATTCAATATCTTTAGAATATTATTGTTTATAAACTAATATTAAATAATATATACTATTTTATGTTTATATAATAGTACTATTAGAATTTATAAAATAAAGAATAAAAAATTCAGGGACTTAATTAAAAATAAGGTGAATTTATAAGGACTTGATAAAAAGAAAAATAAATACAAGGACCTAATTAAAAACAAGTGAAAGTATAAGGACCTGATAAAAAGAAAAAAAACTATAAGGACCTAATTCAAAATTAGTTGAAACTATAAGGAGCTGTGGATTAATTATCCCAATAATTTATTTGATTAATTCTTATAAGTTATAATTGGCTAAATGTTCATGCACAAGAATAAAATCTAAGTGTATAATTTAATTTAAATATTAAAAAAATGAACATGTACAAGAGTTGGCGAAAATGTGATGTTCACACGAGGTTGTTTGGGTATAAATCAGACTATAGTTTTAAAAATAATTTTACAACATACAAAATAAATATGTAAAGGGAGTTTGTCTAGCGTTTCATAAAAATATTTTAGATTAATATAATATTTGGTTTCTTAAATTTATCCTCATTTTGGTTTTGATCTCTTAAATTTCAAACAATGGGTTTTAGTCCTTTAAGGAATAAAATAGTCTAAATTTTTATTGAGTTATAGGGATCAATATTTTAAACAAATAAAAATTTAAAGGACCAAAATCTATAATTTAAAATCTGAGAAATTAGAAATCAAAAGTTATAATAATCCAAATATTTTTTAAAAATATTTTTTGCCTCACCCAAACACCCATCAGAAGCATCTCGGGTCCAGAAGACAATGAACAAAAACTCGGAACTCGGAAGCGGGAGCCCTTAAGGAGGCCCATCTTTGACTTTGACTAATGTTGATAACGTTCCGAAAGGATCGAAGATCCATATGTTAAAAAGTAGGGAAACACCATGAAGCCACGTCAAACCATATCCAAGCATCATTATGCTGTTAGACTAGAGCCAACCTCATCCATGTCGTTTGCCCCCTCGGGGCGGGCCACTTTGAGTCTTTGACCTGGCCTTCCCTTTTCTCACGTAACTGTCTGCTCGTCGAGTTGTACTTTGTTGCTGATTAAAAATAATCAGACTTAATCCAATGAATTTGCACGTTTATCTTAATTGGGCTGATCCGAAATACCATTACAAATAATATTGCTGTTTAGGAAAGCGCAGAGGAACCTGCCGAGTTCACATTCCTCACCATTGAAATCTGGCAACATGGATTATTTCATCTGACATTAAAACAAAATCAATTTGATACGCATTTGTTGTCTTGTCGGAAAACTGGATAGGAATATGGCATCCCCAGCAGCGGTTTTGGGTAATAATTAGTAATGACAGAGTTGGCATCAAGTGGATCATTCCCCTCCCTTGCCTTTCCCCCTGGATCCTCAGCGTCAAATATAATAACCAGAAATTCGTGCTGTTCACCATCTTTTCTAAGATTGTAATTAGGGACATTATCATCAACTAATAGCAGATACTGTGTTGTATTTAATTATTTATGATGTGCCTGTGCGGCGCATCTAATATGAAAGGGACCTTTTTGGGGAAAAAAAATTTCACGTCGGCACATTCTTCACCGACCAACTTCGCCAATTGCAGCGTCAAGTTGTTTCCCCACACACAAATGCCACCTTCTTTCGGCATTCACATTGATGCACCCACACTGTTGATTGATCTATTCGCTCATGCTAAAGGCTTATCATCTGTTCGGGAAGGTGGGTAAAATAAAAAGGGCAAGCACGAAAGAGAAAAGGCGATTGGTTTTCCCTCAAACCACCAAAACACTCTCACGTAAACACACGCATAGACGTGCATTGGCGTTTGAAGAATTTGCATGCAAAAACCAAGAGGCAGAGCTGGTTGATAGATAATATATTTTTATGTCAAAGGTGCCGAATCGCGGAGACAAGGCAAAGGAAGAAGGTGAACACAAAAGCTATCCCGTGAAGTCCATGCCGACGATATTCCCAGATATCGATAGGGAGAAAGAGATGTCTGCAATGGTTTCAGCTTTGACCCACGTTGTTTCCGGAGAGTTGCCCTCTGATTATACGGCTTTTCATCAATACTCAACGTACCTGAACACAGTCGAAACTTCCGCGACACCATCTTCGACTTCTTCATTCTACGGTGCTAGCTCTGCTGCACCGACAGCTACGGAAGATGGCACCTTCTCACATATAGGTTCATCCTCATCCCCTGCTGTTCCAACAAGTAAGCGAAAAAAACTGTTTCATTCTTTATTATCATACTCCTATTTATTCCAAGTAAGAAACCTCAGATTATATATACCTTGATGGGTCCCCGCATGCTTTCGAGATTAAAAAAACTTTTGCTTAACCAGGCCAAAACCATTGACTTTTGGTTCCAAATGATTAGGGTGATAGCCATAACATGAAAACAAGGCGAATTAATTGCACTTGTGATGGAGACTGAATAAGAAAAGAGAAAAAAAGATCTCATTTTTGAAGGTTGATTAATGTTGGGTTTATGGGAACGCAGATAGAGAAGGGAGGAGGGGGAGAAACGAAATGCCGGAAATGAGAAATGTTGTGTATGAATACAGAGCGGAGAATGGGAGGGAGCAGGGGAGAAGAAAATACAGAGGAGTGAGACAGAGGCCATGGGGGAAGTGGGCTGCAGAAATCAGAGATCCATTCAAAGCAGCGCGGGTGTGGTTGGGCACATTCGACACAGCAGAAGCCGCAGCCAGAGCATACGACGAAGCTGCCCTGCGTTTCAGAGGCAACAAGGCTAAGCTCAATTTCCCTGAAAATGTCACCCTTCGCCCCACTCCCCCAACTCTTCACAACCTGCAGGCTCCTCGCTATGGTCAGATTGATCACATGGTTTCACACTTTCAACCATCCCTAACGCCACCGGCAGCGTCGTCCTCCTCGTTTTCTGCCTTTGCTTCCACTGTTACCACACCTCCTTCGCCTTATCCTGCACAGACTCAAATGAGTGATTCTGAGTATTTAGTACCTTCATCGTTTTCTTCTGCCGGTTACACCTCCTTTTATTCTGGATGACACCATTATTATTCGTTTAAGTGTTCGCATTTTCTCTTTCTTTCTCTTGTTATTCATTTCTTCATCCTCTTGTATGAGATTGGCATTGGTGTTACATTAACTTTGAGAATGATGAGATTTGTCCCCGAAGAGTCTCGAGATTGATACTTTTCTGTGTAAGTTCGTTGCACTCAGTAGCGGAACCTTAAACCACCAAGACTATGATATTTGCATGATGCAGGGGTTTTGGCCTCAAAACAGTCAACAGACCATCATAAAGGGATTTGCTTATTCTCTGCGCGGGTGAAACTTAAAGCAGATGGCTGAGGCCAAATGTGTACGAATGGTCAAAATTTGACGCGCCGAAAGAAAGAAGGGGGAAAAGACACGTGCTAAACTGCTAAAGCTTCGACCTCATCGAGCCTTTCCATGCCTCTTATTGCGGCTTTGTAGAGCAGCTTAAACGCTTTCTAATTTGATTCACTACACGCCAATTAGCACTTCTAGTTTAATTTGCTACGTCCTTCATTACCCTCTGAAAAATGAAAAACCAAAGCGTTAAGAGGAACAATCATCCGGAACGCACGTTCCCACACAAGAGCCTTGCCGCCGGCAGAATTCAAAGTAGTAATTAAACACCACCTCCTCCTCCGAATCCAAATATAAGATTTAACTTGTTATTCAATTTTCCTTAGATCTAGCTTGTAATTTAAAGTGAATTATAAATTAGATCTGACATCTCAGGACGGTAGTATAATTTTTCATGCATATCAGTAAATATAACATCCAATAACTCTCCGTAATTTTATCTCAGAATATTGGATAGGATTCAGGGGCTCAAGCAGAAAGCCCGTTTGTCACTTTCTTAAGTTGCTTGCGAAGCTCGAGACCCGGTTCTTCTCAACGTGATCAGGTATACCTCACCATGAAATGAGGATCAAAAGAAAATGCTGCGTAAAGGGAAGCTAAAACAACCACTGAAACATTATCTCGTTTTCCTCGTGGTAATGGAGAAACGCGGGCAAAATGTGAAACGAAGGCGACAACTCACAGTCCAATTGGACTCAACGTTGGGAAAACGAAGTCGACAACTCACAGTCCAATTGGACACAACGAACGTTGGGCTGCTTTAATTTCTATTAGTTGTCGGGGCTCACGTGTCCAGAATCCTTCCCAAATAGTCACATTCAAAATATTAAGACGTATCAATTGGCATTCTCGTGGAGGTTTGAGCAAGCACGAGGAACTCCGGAACAAAACAAACGGCTCCTATCAATTATCGAATCTAATGCACGAGAGACTCCTAAACACACAATTATCAATTATCGAAGGGTGAGGCAATGCTTTGCAGGATCTCAGTAACTTCATACTCAGAAATGAAACGTTGAAGATGCATGAACTGAAACTAGCATGAGAAGAGAAAGTACCCACAGATATTTAATGGCGTAGATAATGGAAAGCTCGAGTTTTAGCGCCATAACGCTAAATTGAGTATACGTAAACAGGGAAAGGAGCTATCATGGATATTGCTTGGGATAAGAGTGAGAGTTCTCCTAACATTATGCAGTTGGCAGATTATTGAAGAATCTGAAACGAAGTCAAGACGCACGAACACTCGTCCAGAGCTGTAACGGGCCACGCTTATTATGGATTTAGCACGGGCTAGCCCAATGTGTCACTGTCTTTTTAAAAAAACCGCTCATGGCCTGGTTGTTAATTTCTGAGAAACCAATAATCAATTGTCATTCCAATGAGTTTAGCGGTAAAAACTACACCCTCTCACTCAAAAAGAAAGAAGTTTGATTCCTCATCACAGCACTTGGGGAGGCATCTTTGAATAGGAGTACCTAAGTTAAAGCCTAAGGATATAATATAGATTCGCCCTGCCTTGTCCTTGGCTTGGGTTGAACCTGAACCCTTATATAAAATTTTGTAAATATATATATATATCAATAATCAATAATTTTTTTTTCAAAAAACTCAATATTGATGGCTAATATAAATATAAAATTGTAATAAATTGTGAATAATAGAGGGTACTGAGATTCCCGCCTAGTTAATTATAATAGATTGAATTTAGACATGATTTTTTATATATTTTCGGTGGCTATATTTTTATTTAAAGTATGATATATGAATAACATATAAAACGTATATAGTTTAAATACATAATTATATATTTTCCAAAACATTCTCAAAATCCGATATACTTGGTATGAAAATTTATATACTACTTGTTAGTTGTTATATTGTAATTGGAGATTGTCCTAGTAAAATTACCAAAATTCACTCAATGTTTTCCTTAAAAACTCTCCCTCTTGTTCCTCTCCCTTCCCTCTTCTATTTCAGCGCCATTAATCTCATCATTTGTCCATGCCTAGCTAGGGTTTTCTTTTGTTTTTTGTTTTTCTGGGTTGGGGTTGGGGATAACTGCACTCGGCCAATTGCTTGGTCGACGCTGTCTTGACTATTCACATCACAATATCATAAGAATCCGTGGATATCAGTTTACATAAGAACAATTGTAACCACAATAGCTATGTTTTTTGTAAAGATTATTTTAAATTTTATTTTTCAAAAAAAAACTAATGCCGCTTCAATCCGTTTTGTTTCATACCTAAAAAAAGGCAAGATCAATTCTTTTTTCCAGAACTCAATATTATTTTATTTACCTTTTTCTTTTGAAAAAGCAATATATCACATGCACAACCTTTTCATATGGAAAGGCAGACGCCGGTAAATTCTACGTAGTTACTTTTTTGCTCCAATAATATAACAAGCAAGGAATCAAGCCATATATACATACGGGAATAAATTATAAATTTGGGAAGCGTATATTTTAATGCTAATTGTGAATCGGGGGCTTCCTCCTGGCTGGAGTGTAATCCATTGAGAATACTTCACAATCTGCATTACCCTCGTCTTCTTTCGTCTTAAGCACTCCATCATGTGCCTCCTTACGATCTCTAATATTGCCATTAATTCTTTCTTTCAAACTTCGCGCTGCATATGATCAAAAAATATATTAATTAATTGTTAAAATTAAAAGGAAATCATATCACGAAGAAAGAATATATCAGTGTTTTACATATAAAAGCAGCTATATATACCTGTGGCTTGAGAGGAAATGAAGCAGAGAAGGAAGAGAGCTACAATTACAAGTCGCTTGTTCTGCAGGATAGCCATTGTATGTTTATAAACTCGTGCGCTCTATAACTATACAAGGTGCTCTAATTATTTGCTTATGCCACAATATTCATCTCAGTTTCACTCCCTTATATAGACGCGAAGATTGATGAGTTCCTATACCCTAGCTAGCTAGCTAGCGAGTTGCCAGTTGCCACCGAGATGAAGATTATTGCGCAACTATACGTGGAATTTGTGAATATGTTATGAGCCATAGGGTCTACGAGGGTCAACATCGCTGTCTGCTGCTGTGTCTGACAAGAAATTGCCGGCTCTGTGCTTTTCCTGGGGATAGCTTTAATTCTGAATATTCCACATTATCCCATCATCTCCATTAACCTCAACCTTAGCTTCCACGACATCAATGTTAGTTAATTTTTGTTTACTCCTGACCTCGTAGCCTACAAAAACGAAGAGGAATTACTTATTCCCAGTTACACACCACAAACACCCCTGTTGGAGCAGGACGTACTTCCTGCAGTACGTGTTTGAATTAACGTGCGGTAAACCATTGATCATTTAAGTTGCACACGCACGTAATTTTATAGGCCAAATGGTTTAATACCCAGGAAAAACATACCAATTTCAATTATATCAATTCGAGGTTGTATATCTAAAGAGATCAAGTGACTCAATGTTATACTCTCTCTTCTCTTTAATTCGTGTTATCATTTACTCTTCCCCTGCACATGATACGCTTGCCCAGAAAATCCATTCACAAAATATATGCATGTATATTTATCGAGGGAATTAAGGTGTTTGACAGATGAACGTACGGTCTGGTAAGTACTGTCTAAACCTTTCATTAAATCATTGATATTATATCGATGCTTTTGCCGGAACGCGCCAATGCATAGATGATGAAGCCGAAGTATATACGTATGTTTTGGTTGTCAAACTCATCCATTTTTTTCCATTTGTGTGAAAACTGTTATTTATTGAAAGTTAAAGTCACTGCTCTTAGCCAACGGCAAGCAAGACAATAAGTAACACGAATGGTTGGTACCGATCGATCTGAATGGAAGGAAATTAAATGTGTGTAATGTTGAGCTGGTTCATTAAATTTGCGAGGGAATATTCAGACAAGATAACACGTTGGAGCATGCAAGAGGGCCATATATATCTGGCTCTGTACCTGTTTCTGCAGCCAATCTTAAGCATTTTACCTCGCCTTCACATCCTCAAAACATTTCAACTGAACGTTGCTACCTGCATTTTCTTTTTGGTCGCTCTTCAATATCCACAAGTTCTGTTGTTGACATCTTTAATTATTGCAATTCAACACACATGTACACACACTTGTCCATCAGATATACGTGGAATTAATTAACTACATGGGAATGGTTTTATTGCAGTTCTTTTCCCCATTAAACATTAACCAAAGCTTTGGCTGGGGTGAAATTAAAAATCCATATGAGCCTTTTAAATTCGTGAAGCGATGGAATTAATCCCTGGATATTATTTCAGATTTAGCTTGCAACAATTCAATGGAGTTCAAGTTGAAGAAGAAGCCGACGAGTGAAATTTATTGTAAGATGTATATATACACACAGAGCACAGTGATTGTTTTGTTTTGAGCGCTTTGTTTTGTTGCGCTCAAGTTAGATGGCGTGGGTGGAAAGATTTGATGATATATGATCATGAAAAATGCCAAGCATTAATGAATGGAGGCAGAAAAACCGACAAAGGTGAGACGACGATCATTTTCAGATAAGACAACAGACAATGTTTGTCAATTTCTTGTGAAAGAGTAAGACAGTAGACAAAGTTACGTATGCTTCACATGGGACGATCTGCTTCATCTTCTACCTGGTAGGCCTGCCTTGTCCCTCGCCTATTTTGCCTACCCCAAACATGATTTAATATAGAGCTAATAAAGGCTATGATAGGGAGTGAAATCAACAAGCCAAGGCATCCCATTTGATCTGTCCCTTGTTAATTACTACCAGACACCCGGAACTGTGAACCTCTTGTATTTGCCTGTTTTAATACCCTCTTCATTTTTAACATTCAACGCATGTGGTACATTTGTACATTTCATGTGTAAGTATTACAAAGTGAACATGATAAAAATGAAGATCAGACGGGTCTCTCTTTTGAGGCCCCTTACTCTTCATCATCCATCCATGTATATATAGTTGTCGAATATATTGGTAGTGATTTTTCTATATAGACGTAGTCGTGGAGAGTACTTGGTAGGTCCTAATAAGCTCTTTATTTCCTGCCAGCTTTCTGCTATACCTTCACAATAAAGTAGGACTGCTTTTTGTATAAATCAACCTTACCAAGTCTATGTATCATGGAGATCTCACTTCCATTTTAACTCTGTCTATCTCTTCACAAGATCTTGGGCCATAAGAGGAGCCTCATACCTTTTGTACATGTTTTCATTTCATGTGTATTCGCTTTTATAATCGCTTGTATTAACTCTCACGAACATCATTGGAGTTACTTTCAGATGCTACATGAAAAATTTAGCCAAACCAGACAATATTTAGCTATTTCTTGAATAAGCACAGCTTAGGTTTAGGTCATTAAGGCAAGTAATTTAATTAAGATCATAGAAAACTTGCATCAAAACACACCCCACCGAAAAGCATATCTTAAATTATGGGCTTGTTTGGATTCTTGTTTTGAAAACAATTTTTTGTTTTTAAAAACAGAAAAACAAAAAAAAACTTGTTTGGTAAGTTGTTTTTAGTTGATTGTCTTAAAAAACAAAAAACAGTGACATGTTTTTAAAAACAAAAAAACTGAAACAATTTTTACATGTTTTCTTGTTTTTGTTTTTGTGCTTTTTATTTTTTGTTTTGAAAAGTTTTGAGAAATATTCTTCTCTTCTCACCTACTTCCACCACTTATTATTACCAATGACAACTATCACCTACCAAGTGTGGTTTTTATGTTTTTTTTTCAAACATGATTTTTTAAAATTATTATCCAAACAAATTCTTTTGTTTTTTTGTTTTCAAAACTTGTTCTAAAATACTTCTCACACTGGATTTGGATCTCTCAATCCTTAAGGAATATTAATCATCTACATGATAATGGTGTTGAACTAAATACTTTTGTTTATTTTTAAAGAAATAAATTCATAACTTAATTTCCACTCAACGCTATTAAATCACGATCTGATAATCAATATATCATCCAGGCGCCAGACTTCAATCAAGGGAGTAACACACTACAAAACGTTCTTAACCTATCATTGTTCTGTTCTCTGTCATTTGATACCAAATCAAAGGCCATTTTATAAGATATATATATATTTCAACTGAAATTCTGTATATAATATTAATGTAATAAAAAATATCAGCTTTTAACCAAATTGAATTTAGGAAGAATTATGATGAGGTCTTAAAAAAAAATAATTACAAAACAAGTCTCAATAGTTGTAGTTTTCTGCTCTGAAACTTGTCATTACCGTTTAGGTTGTTATTTGGAGTTTTTATTAATTATTTTTTTCTTGGGATCTTATTATAATTCTCCCTTGAATTTAACTGATCATGTATCAACAATAATTAAAGGAACATTCAGCCAATCGTAAAGAAAGCGGCTGTGTATATTATTATAGGTTAGCTATAATAAGACATTAGAACAGTTTACATACATAAAAGCAATAAATAGTTCCAATTTTTGTAATGTCTATAAAGAAAGAGGAAAAGTTGATGAAACGTTTGGATCCAATCGTTTCTGTGATTGAAAAGACCCCATCAGTTTTTTGTTAAAAAAGAATTAAAATTTCATTCTGAAAAGCACCGTCCAACCAAATATATATCCTACTTCTAAGTTTGGAGGCGCATAGATGAGTTCATTGCTTAAAAGTCAAAACAGAATTGGTTAAACAACACAGTTTTCACTAACTTCTTCAATTTTCTTCTATCATCCTCATCATAAATCAATTATGATCGGTCCAAGCTTTTGCGAACTGAATAAAAAAGATCAATAAAGCTACTACGTCAGCATAAGCATGGCAATGATTGATAACTTTTCATACTGGACACTTTTTGAGGCAATATTAACAACATAAAATAACGGTACCCTATAAAGTGAATAAATGACGTAGTACCCCACCAGAGGAAAAAGGTTCAATAATCCAGAAGGTCTCTAGCTACTCTCTGGCTTGAAATTTCTCTCCTCCATATTACGATACATTTGTTGACATATTTGCTTGTCTCCATGCATCACCTAGGTTCTAATTAATTTAAGAAAAATCACTCTAACGTCTCAAGGAAAAAAAAGAATGTAATTATTATAAATTCCGAAATGAATAACACGAACCTGTTGTCACATTTTTTTACACCTTAATATCATAATTTTTTCATCAATTTATTTGGTTGATGATATATTACCTCTTATCCTAATTATATATAAGATATTGTTTATAATCTACAAACGAGGTCTTGTCATTAGGATTGGAGGTAGTATTATTAACCACTCATCAGTTGTATTATCTAAATAATGTTTCATTTACCGTCGTGCATTTTCACGGATATAACTCCTGCGAATCAAAAGCTCACAGATATGGAGCACTATGACTGAAGAAACGTGGCTATCTTTTCACGTTGGTTATAGAAGTTTATAATGGCACCTTTGTTACATTCTTAACATAATACCTCCAGGCGAAGCACAACTGCACAACGAGTCAACTCTAGATAGTCTAGAGCTTGAGATACACTTATTCTCGTGTGTAAATGGACGTGAAGAAACAGGATATTGATTGGCATATGAGGATTAAGATAAAGGATAGATATATATTAAACACGTTTTCTCTTAGTCTACAAGAAAGAGAATTTTTAGTATCTAGTTCGGCTCAAAACTGCAAAAGCTTTTCTCCATATGCTCCCCCTCCAACTTCTCCCGGCGATCGACTTGCGAGCTATTTACACCAAAATTCTAGAGCCTAAATATAGTAGCGAGCTAGCCAGGCGCTGGTGTCGGAGATTTGGCTGTGGGATGATGTCCTAGAGGTTCAGAATAGCTGTAAACATAATACTAACGGTATATACATAGAAATGCAGAGAATACAACTAGAATACTTAGGGCTTCCTCTAAGAAAACGATAAAGATGGAGGATCTGATTAGTTATGAATTGGAGGGTTCTTTTTGGCAGGAGTATAGTCCATGGTAACCCAGTCATCACCCTTTAACTGTTCTTCTCCTTGGCTGTGCACCTTCTCCTTAAACGCGGAACTATTCGGTGTCTGTGCCTTCTCATCTACATGTCTCGTCTCCCTCAAACTTCTGGCTGCAAATTATAAACAAAATCCCATAAATGAAATGATATGGATGATAGATTATTCAGTAAGAGAGAGAGAGAGAGATCAAAGGAAATAAGCCCTACCTGAAGCTGTTGAGGAGACGATGCAAAAGAAGAGAAAAGCAACAAGAAGAAGGCGATGGGTAGGTAGCACAACCATTTTGAACTTGGAAATAATCTAGACGAGTGTTGGTGTATGTGTAATAAGCAAAAACCTAAATTAAAGCAGATGGATGCAGAAGACGAAGGAGGGACGGTTTTATAGGGAGAGAAAGGAGACCTAGAGAATAGGATGTCGAGAGAGGAGGAGGACAAGATCACTAAATTGCTGAAATTGAGGTTCAAATCAATGCCTCCTGCCATGTCTTGCATGAAAACGACAAGGCTTAGCTTGCTAGCCAAATCACCATCCAACTTAACTGCACAGATGGATCCCCTTCAATTCCTTCACTGCCATCTCTTTGGAGCCTAGTGCCCTTTTAACTCTATTTTTCTACCATAATATCCCTAAAATAAAATAAACAAGAACCACAAAACTTGCCTTAAGGGAGAAAGAGTGAATAAGTAGCAGAGATTTCTGCCTGCACACTAGAGAATTTAGAAGTCATTTTGTTTAAGATTATTAAAAAAAAAAGATTTTGATTGAGTTAAACATGCCAAAGTTGTTGGGAAAACCTTAAAACTAGTGAAAAAATTGACAAACTTAAGCGAATCTGATCCCTTAGTTGAAATGAGCATTTCCTTCCATTCATACGTTTGTTTTACCTGGCTCAATGTTTCCCTAAAAAGGCAAAAAAAGACAAGTTTTTTTGGGGTAGCCTGTTTGGCATGAAAGACGAAATAGCGCAATAATATTGCTCTGCAAATTTATTTTTCCTAAAGAAAATCTAAATTTAAGATGCTATATAAGCAGCCTACGCCGTGAAAAATTTAACCTCTCTGATTACAAAAATGAATATGCTATTTTGTTGGCTGAAAAATTTATAAATTTTCCATGAAAACAATAATATGTTTAGCAACGTATTCAAATAGGAGGAGTATCATTTAATTGGCAAAAGCCCAACGTTCCACTTAAAAAACAAGTACTTATGAGGCAGACTATTTCCTGGGAAGAAATCGCAATAACATTACTCTCTACGAATGCAAATATATTCCTGAAAAATTGCAAAATAAAATCTAGACTTAAGATTTAGCCATAGGGAAGTATGAAGCCACAGAAGTTGCGTTGAGAAAGGAAGGGTGATATAGTCGCACGCGGCAGAGCTGTCCGTACTGGGAACAAAGGGCGCTACATCCCCTGCAAAATCCCCTCATGGCCTTAGCCACCCAATATAATTATCAAAGGCGTCCTCCTTTTAATAATATTGTAGTTGTGATTAAATAAGAGCCAACCCAAGCATTCATTCCGCAATAACTCTTGCCTCAATCATGCTTCCGTTTGTTTATGCAGCAAAGGAAGCAGAGCATTCACCACTGAAGTGAGATAACCGACACCTGTGAGGCTTCCATCACTTTCGCATAAACCCATCAAGCAAATTATCACGTGGGAGGAGGCTAAGCCTTCCCATAACTGTGGGGTTCCTCTGTCCCCTTCATTTCCTGCTAATTAATCTCGTTAAAACATGATTTGCCTTCGCAATTAAGCCTAATCAAGCAGCAGTTAATGAGGACGGAAAACGTAATGATGTTCATGTACCGGCGCACCCAAATCACTTTCCTGCGGAGACACAACATGAGGGAGGGTGGTCCCCCTGAATTGTTGGGAAGAGGATCCACAGACTGGGAGCTTTCTGGTTTGAAGAGGATTAGCAGACTAATCACGCTTGGTTTCGGATTTATTTGAGGAATGGGACTACTGGTTCCTCTCTTGCTCGACAATTTTGGAAGCTCATTTGTGGTGTAGGGCACATCCTCACGTGCCGTTGCTGCTCCCATCTACTTTCCTTTCCTTCTTCACGCCGATTCAATCCATTTCCTCCCCCATTCTTTGCATCCCTCCCACCCAAGTCCCAACTCATTCACATCTCTCTCTATTTTTTATTTATATATCATTACTTAGGTTCTTTTCTAGTGGTACGTAAGAGATCAACAGAGCACAAAATAATGTTAAAAGGATTTTTTTTTAATTGGCAAAGGACAAAAGATGAAAAGATTGATTAATTAATAATTTAATATCACTATTTTATTTCTCTTGATTTTTTTGTCACCCACAAGTCTGGGATGTACCAAAGGACAAGCAGTGAAATATCTGTGATGTAAAATCGTTATCATAATATTTAACGAAATTCTTCTTTATTTTCCAGAGTACTTCAAAAAAAAAAAACCAGGAAAAGAATGGAATATGGATAGTACTAGTGCTACTCTCGATCTTAATATCACATCCTCGTATCCGAACAAACCCCTCCGACCACCGTCCCGAGCTGTCGCCGGGGAATTTTACCGGTCCAAACTCAGAACACACTTGGCCGATCAGCGAATGGTTGGTCTGATCATCACTCTGTCCGATGACGATCAATATCCCTTTCTTTTGATTACTTCTATTCATCCACATTCTCCTAATCAGCATGCTCATTTACGCGTAAAAGGAGTTTTGATTAGCAAAGAAAATACATCGATCTTGAAAATGTCAGTTTTGTTCCCATTCCTCCATCTGCCTTCCAAAACTGTAGCAGCGGCAGACACAAAATATCTACCTGGCGCATAGAAGCTGTGTTACTGCAATAGATTGAAGTTTAGCTTAGATAGAATCAAGAAGGAAGATGTTGTTCTCTGGTATGGCGAAATAGCTGGGAATCCGAACGAGATGCATTTAGATTGTCTTTTCATCATTGTTATTCACGAGCCTTTTGATGCATTATTACATACATTATCCTTCCCTATAGTCCGGGACACAACTTTGTGGACACCACTAGCAGAACTGCATCGATCCATCGATTTCTGATCATGAGAATTGGAAAATGACTGAGTGGCCCTTAGCATTCAGTGATAACTAACCAGTGATTAGTGACTTGGGTCTGCATTCAACAGGGCCATGTAGGCCTCACCACCTTCGCCAGTTTGCTTCCTGTGTGTATCCCTTCGTCTTTTGTTCCCAACAGTATATTCCCAATATCAACGGTACACCCTTGCGTATTTCTAATCAGCATTTCATCATCTTCATCATCATAATTTACTCGGATGAAAGCGTTCCATTGATGAAAAACAAAATTTTGGCGTCTGCATGACACACACACACACACATGTATATAATAGAAGTAATTCTACTGATCATAGCTGGTCCCAGAAGCCACTATCTCCAATCAGAGAGTAATGCCGATAATGCAAATAGGCAAGCGGCCACCTTCCTGCAGGTGTAGAGCGCACTACAGAGAACACCGGCTTCTTTTAAATTTGGCTTGAACTCTGAAAGATTTTCATTCAAGCATGGAAACAAGAAAGTCCTTGTCATGAACAGGACCGATATAGGCACAACTAGGTGGTAGTATGTGTTAGTGAATAGTGAATAGAAGGTGTTGGTATGTGTTTGTAGATCTTTATGAAGTCCCCCCCCCCCCCGGCGCTCTTTTCTTTCTCACTGGCCTTAACCCCAGTGACTCTGGAATTTCTCCTCTCTGCTTCAACTTCTTTCTGATCCTTCTGTAATTCTGCGGCCGCATCTCTTGTATTTCCCATTTCATTTAGTCTGCAGCTCTGTAATTTCCCTTTAATCTTCTTGAAATCTTGTATTGTATTCGGAATTTTCATCAAACATAGAATAGTATTGTTTTGTAATTTGAGTAAGATTTTGGAGTTCGTTACATCCTTCTCGGCCTATCATTTGGCCTCCTCCCCTGCCATGCAAGATGAGCACAAGGACCAATACAGATTTTAAAGCTTCAAGGGTCCAAGAAGCATAGATGTTTTGGCCACCACTGGGAATCCGGAGCTCCAAAGGAGAAAAAGGTTAGCATCCTACAATATGTATACCGAGGAAGCTAAGTTCAAATCCTCCGTTCGGAACAGTTTCAAGTGGATCAAAAGCAAGCTCATGGTTGACTATTAGGGTGTGTGAACTAAACCGTATTGCTCCTTCTTACACTTATGCTTGATTATATTCTGTTAACTATTGATCTTGTGAACGTATTAGTGTTATTCATGGGTGTATGAAAAAGCAATCTCTTAGTCCCTTCCCATGAACACAAACCCGCAAAGCTGTCCTCGACTCCACGTGAAGCATCTTCCTTCAAATTCAGCACGGATCCAGTAGTTCCTTTCTTTTTGTCCAAAAGACTCGTTGAATGTGGATGGCATCCATATTTTTTTTATATCCATCTTCTCTTTTAATTGTAGTAGCCTTTTACCTAATGCTCAAATGATTAGCTTTTAGTAGTAGCCTACGCTAATCCTCCGATGATTAACTTCTCATGTTTTTTAGGCAATGCGAGTTCCGTACTTAAAATCTTGTTTTCCCCCCGTACTTAAAAAGGAAGAATTTCTGACTGCACTCAAGGTAAGCACAACATGGATAGATATTTATATAAAATAGTTTAAAATAGACAATATTTTATAACCACCATACAATATCTCACAAACATATATGCTCTAACTCTTTTAATGTGGAAAATTCACCAGAAACTTTTTGAAGTTGCATGCAGTCCAAAATGCGGACTCATTTATTTATGGAACAGCAATAGGAGAAAAAACTCGAAAACATGCGACACTTAAGTACGGTTTAGGCAAATAATAGAGAGAAATAGAAAAGGAATGGTAATAGCCTCACTTGTGGATCTTATAAAACTGGGACCCTTCCTCTCTGTTTCTCTTTTACCTTGCACCTGTAAGTGCCCTTCAAGTGATCTATTTCTCAATTTCGATTGCCCAACCTCTTATTTAATTCAATGAGATTAGATAACTTATCCGGATCAAACCGATAATCCACAAGAGAAAAGGATCGGCGAAATTGAGCTGGGTCACTGCCTTCTTTGCCATTCATCATGGCCTGCAAGTAGCTGCTATAGTTCTTGACGTTTTTGAGAGCATTGGGATGTGCTTCAGTCCTGGGAGATCTTTTCTCACCACTGGACAGAAAAACTGGAGACAGAGTCAGTGACGTATTCAAGCTCCCTTCTGTGGTATATTGTTTCGAGTTCGATGATGTGCCGCTTAGACTATTTCCCGTTTCTACATCAGACATGCTTCCTTCCACATTCTTCTTCTGTTCAAGTTATATAATTTCAGATAGTAACATGATGCTTTTCAAAGAGATTCTTAAATATACTGTCTCAGAGCCTTTTAAAAGGTATTTGTCTCATTCATGTTTAACATCGCTTGAAACAGAAGTGGGTGTAAGGTGTCACCTCTTTCGAGGATTCTGAATTTCTCACGACTTGTTGTCCGGCGGCAATTTTGTTCTTTTCTGACCGAGTCGCGTTACTTGGCTGGGGTATTTGTCCTTTCTTGGATGACCTATGCCTACGTACGTATATCCAGAAAACCAATTAAGTCACAGACAACAAGGAGCCTAGCACTAAACTCTGGTCACATCGGCACTTTCACACTTACGAGAAAAAAACTTACTTTTTGCGTCCTTTAGGATGTGAGCGCTCATCCTTCTCTTTGAATATTACCGGTAGAGCTGAAGGAGGGCATGGTAAAGGACTAGTCTTGAAGAACTGAAAGCGCAAACCAATTAAGCATATAAATGTGATACACTTGTTATTTATGAGGAAACAGTGCGAAGATTTCATCAGTATTTTCTAAACGAATAACACAGGGGGAGCAGTGGAGCGGTAAATAAGGAAAGAGCTCACTTCAGACTGGAGAGCAGAGGCAGCAGTGCCACGATAGTTAGGATCAAGATCCAGAAGCGTAGTTAAGAGACCAATAGAAGAGGGAGGAAAAGCCCTGAATATTTCATCATAATTAGGCTTGTAGTTTGGTGGCCTATAACTTGTCATTAGCTTCAATTTCTTCCAGTAATCCTCCGTTGGAGAACCACATAGTTTGAAGATCATGTGCATTTGTTCAACCTACACCCATCCCATTCCAGCATGACTTTCAATTAGCATATTTGGTCTCTTAGAAGTTCAAGCGTTGTATATTTTGAGGATGATTTTCAAATCTTTAAAAGAAGAGATATTGAAACTGTGTTGAGAAAAAGAGTGAATGTATTGGAAGGTGAAGCACCTCAGTCCTGCCAGGCATGATTGGTTTTCCAAGAAACATCTCAGCCAAGAGGCATCCAGCACTCCAGAGATCGATGGCGAATCCATAATCAGTTGAACCCAAAAGTAATTCAGGGGCTCTATACCAGAGTGTCACCACTCGATTGGTGAAAGGCCCTTGTGGTTTAAGATCAAAGGAATTTGCCAGCCCGAAATCTGCAACTTTTAGCATCCCTTTCTTGTCTATTAGCAAGTTTGAAGCTTTTACGTCTCTGTGCATAACCCCCCTCTCATGGCAATGCTGGAGTCCAGAAAGCAATTGCTGCATGTAACACTTAATCTGTAGCAAACACAACCATCCTCTCAATCAGAGAATTTGATAGCAAATTCTCAAAGTACAATCTTTAACGAATCTACTACAGGGAACTCTTAAGAACCTGTGGTTCAGTGAGTTTCTCGCCAGGGCGGGTGATGACTCGGGTAAGGTCGGACTGCATGTAATCGAAGACTAGGTAGAGACTATACTGCATCCTTGAGGTGGCTATGCCTTCAAGCTTGATAACATTGGGATGGTCCAGCTTCTGCAGAATCATGATTTCTCTCGCCATGAACTTTATACTTTCTGCATCCGATGTGTCAAACCGGACCTTCTTCATGGCAACAATCTTTCCCGCTGCCTTCTCTCTGGCTTTGTACACGTTGCTATATGTTCCACGTCCTATCTGCAATCCAAATGCACCAAAAATTAAAGATGTTCAAATAATTATAAGAGCTCAACGCGAGATCTTTTCTCCCATGTATCAATCCACTACAAACACCTTTGCTTCATCTCTTCTTCTTTTGACTTGACGATGTGTTATAAGGACGTCAGGAGCCAATTCACTAAACTCAGATCAGAAAATCCTAATCATCAATCTTTTAATATAAAATTAGAACAACTGGCACTATGGTGTTTAACTGTGCGTCTTGATTCCCATGCAATTATTTGAAAAATTAACATCCCTGTATTTACGTGGATTGGGTGTGGATTTCTCTAAACACAGAAGTATCACTATTCGGTCTTACCACGTTGGTTAACGGCAAAAGGGTGAGGAAAAATTGAATTGAATTTGTTAACTTACGTTGCAATTCCAATGCAAGCGTGCAAAGTTGCGAACATGTTGGACGAGAACGACAAAGTCATTTGATATATTTGTGAATGTTGTTATGGATGAAAGAAATATGTAATCCTACGATGCATCAAGTTACAAAACAGGTATAAAGAGAAAATGCCTACTGTTAGTTAGTTAATTACCTTGGCAAGCTTTTCATAACAATCAGCACTCTTGGGAACCAGCTTATCCAGAACATGCGCAGGTATATTATCAACCAACCACTTCGGCCAAGCACCCACATACACATCTTTTCCAATCTTCTTGTCCTCAAATCTCCTTGAAATATTGCCAACCTCATCCCTCTCGGCCCCAGGAGCCAACCTTTCTCCTCCCGCTTCTTCTCTGACACCACCACCGCCATTTTCTGCTGTTCTTGAAGTTGAAATCCTATGTTGTACCTTGTCGGAAAGTGGCTTCTGATAATAATAGCCTCGACTCGTGTGTTTGGCCGCCCTGTTTTGACTTCCATAGCCATGGTCCCGTTTCCACCTCTCGTTGCGAGAGGGAGAAAGCTTGGTGTTGACGCAGCCCATTGCGACACACAAGCATGAGACACAGAGGTTCTGGATTACCCTGAGAAGATATGAAAGGCTGTTTTGGCCGGCATGGTCTTAGATTCTTCAGGTATGCTTAGCAACAGAAGCTTGGGATGATGCTTTCTCCGTCAATGACGATTGAAGGGACGAATCAGATCGACTGTGCTTGGATTATTCCCCCATAATCAACAACAGAGACACTGTGTTGTTAACGAACCCGGCAGATTTCGAGTTGTTTTCTGGAATGACCGGCGCTACTGCAGGCGTAAAAAAACTGAGGTAATTAAAAAATGCTGAAGGTGTGGCTCAATGCTGCATTTTCACTATTTGTTATCGTCTTCCCCATTCAGTAATTTGACTCATTTTAATCTTTATGGATAATGCTATAATGCGGATGAAAATGTTAATAAATTGTTTATATTAGACAAAAATGGCAATTTCTACGTCAATTTTTAAAATTAAAAAAGGACAAATTACACTACTTTATAATTATTCGTTTGAGATTACTTATTTACGTATTTATAAATATATAAATTGAAAGAAAACTCATATTATATTTCATAAATGATGATTGAAGAATTGTTTATAAACCATTTCAAACAAGCACTAAAATAATTTATTACACTTTGATCTAAAAATTACTTCCTCAAAGTATTCATATATTTGAGTTAATGGCATTTCTTGAGATACTTAAAATTTTATTCAATAAAATATCAAGTTTAATTCTTGTTGTACATAATGTGTGTGGGTGTGTCAAAAGAAGAGTTTCACATTACTTGAAATTGTGAGGGTTCAGGTAAAAAGTTATCTCAAACTACTAAATGGGCCAAGAGGAGAAGTGAGCTCCCATGCACAATAGGCCACTAGAAACAAATCCGATAATTTTTCTTCACCCCTTGTGCACGAGTCAAATGTGGTACTGGACACTTTATTAGAAATATCTATCTAAATTTTAATCTTATTCATCTTAAATAGTCATTAAACAAGTTAATCATGATTTGAAATTGCTCATTTAATTATGAATTAATTCTCGCTAAATATGTTTAAATGTGCCTAATAGTATTGTGATCTGTAGCCTATAAAAAGGATATGAGATCGAAGTTCAAAAAAGAATGTCGTGTTCTAAGCTTTCTGACAACTCTCTTCCCTTCTCTGATGTTCTACATTATTGAGTTCTTTTATCTTTTGCTGTTTTGCTTTCCCTGTTCTTATAGAAAGAATCCGTTTAGAGACTTTAAGTTCTATCACCAACAATTCTTTTATTAAATGATTAAATTTTAACAGTACATTAAATATATAAAAAGTGTTTGGATAAAAACCAAACTATAATTTCAGAAGTGTTTTTACGGTTTAGGAGTTTGTCTTATTTTACAGAAAAATACTTCTGAAAAACATTTTTGAAAGTTGCCAAACACTCTCGTAGTTGAAGTTTAAAAATTGATTGTGGCCCTAATAAGCTCATAGCTAGTTCATAATTAATTAAAATAATGCTTTACATATATGGAGTCAATTAAGCCAAGCTTACGGTGCCATCAAATTTTTGCATGTCAAAAACAATAAAAAATAATTGTGCCCGAGCATTTAATGGACAGGCTGTGTTGATAGTCTAGTTTGTATACGACAAATTACTCAGTTCATATCAGGCCTCTTGTTTTATCCCTCCTCTTTACAGCTATTGTTTCTATCATGTACATTTCCTTCACTATCCATCAATCCTCTTCGAGACGGTAAAGCTAATTGTTCTCCAACAACATATGCATCCGAGCCACTATCTAACAAATCCGCCGATGCTAACACTGTCTCCTCCAGTTAACTTCTGAGCGGGCATACCAAGATCAAAAGGCCCCAAAGAGTCGCACTGCATTAAAACATCATAATTTAAATCAGCCATCAAGGAAATCAAAACACGTCAACAGGTGAAATTATACATTTATAAAAACGTTGAGTACCCAATTGATGCCTCCTAATCCAAGACTTCTTTCTTCATCGTATGTACGTGAAAGCAGCAGGTCTGTCTGATTCCTTCCGGAGGCAAAATCTTGGGGCGGTCCATCTTGATTATCATTAACCTTTATTACACCATCGCACACAAAGTAAACGGCGAAGTAAATAATCATAGCAAGACTACCATGCGACATACCATCTACATAGCAAGCAGCAGGTTTCACCCTAAATTAAATCCTGATTTCCATTATAGTGGAAAGCATGCCCATGTTTCACAGCAAACCCACAGATCCAAAATTGATTGTTTAAAGGTAAAAAAAGATTATTAGCAGAAAGCTAATATATAACATGTGAAATATTACGTTTCATTAAAATATTCTAACCGAAGACTAAGAGAAATAAACCTTTTCTGCCTCTGGCAACTTGAATGAGTTAGAAATATCCAGGCTGCTGGGTCCAGAACAAGTCTTCCCAGTTGAAGACTGCACATGAGTTCCTGGGGAAGAGAACTTTCGAAGAGAAAATGCGTGACACGTTTCTTCAGCATCCAATATAGACGGGCGGAAGTCTTCACTGGATGCCTTAGGATGACTATTTTGGGAAATAATAAAAGCATCCAATGAATCAGAGATTATTTGACCTGGTTGCATGCCTGCATTGCTGCCATTTTGTTTTGAATCTAAGGCGCTTAAATTGCCCTGTAAGGATGCTTCAGAAAGCAGTCCTCCAATGCTTATATTCGATAGACCATCAACCCACAGTAATGACGGTTGTTCCGGCACACTACTTATTGGTTCATTATCCTATTCAAAACAAGCACGTATTTGTAAGAGATAGGAAATGGAACGTATTGAATCTAAATTTCCCAACAAAACATGACTGCATCAATCATTTACGTAATAACTGCTGCATAGGGGCATCTAGCAGCCATATTAGACTATGTACAGGTCAGTCCACTACAAGATTTCCAGATGTGTTATTCGCCATATAATTCTTCAAGTCAGGTATAATATGAAAAAACTGCTCAGGATCATTTATGTTCCCATCCTCAAATAAAATGAGTATATACATCATCTATATCCATCCGCAATTTCCATTTCTCCTTTAACAAATCGTTAATTTGATACTACCGTTGCAAGAAATGCACAACAAGAAATCTAAGCCGCAGCTTACCAGGGATAAACCTGATCCAGTGTCCACTTTATGAGCCCCAACGGAATTTGCTGCCTCACCCATATCGGTTGCTTTGTACTCTGCATCTGCCTCGTTATGATCGTCATTCAAAGTCTTGGAATTAGTGACACCACCTCCCTCTGTACCTTCAGACCGTACGCCAGCCTCAAGGGAAAATGATACTGAAAGCTCAGCCATAGATCTCGGATCATTGATGGAGAACCAACCATACCTTAAAAAAGGAAAGAGAAATCACAAAATTATAGAAACTACCCAACCCACTTTGAAAAGGAAATTTGAAAAACAAAGTGATCAGACAAGATACCTCAAACGAAAGATTGCAGGGCTTCCAACAGCAGCATGAACTGCTGCTGCTGTTATTTCACTATCATCTAATGTCCATCTTCTACTGTTAGACAGGTTTTCCTTTATGTTGTATGGAAAAAGCATGGGCTCCCCTATAGCTACTATCGAACTTCCCCACTTCTTTTTAAGGTGTTTCAGCACTGAAGAAATTTTCTTCTGACCACCAAGAGTGAGCTCCAAATAAGGATTGTGTCCACCCTGAAAAGGAAACTATGTCAGCACATAATCATGCCGACTGGTTCAGAGGTAAAGCATTTTAAATTTGTCCAAAGGTTTCATGTTTCAGCATCTGACCTTTTCCAATCCTATTTGTGTGCCTTTATTTATTGGAAAAAGTTGTAACTTCATCTTTGCAGAAGAAATGTTCTTTTCTTCAGGATGAAGTTCAAGAGCTTTTCTCTTTTCCATAAGAAATGGATCTTTGGAAGATATTTCAATGCCCATTCCCCCAGCTTCCTTAAAAGGCAAGCACTGAACTTCGTTTTCAACCAACACATTAACACCACATCCTAAGAATGGATCAATCGGCTTTAGCAAATTATCCAGTATACAGACAAATGAACATCTGTATAAATTTATGAAATAAAATGCGCAGTTCAAGCAAATAAAACGATAATTGCCTTAAAATGAATAGCAAGAGGATAGTTCAATCCACTGAGTTGGATCCAAATTTTTCTGCATTAAAGGGAAAAGGAAAGATGTATCACCATGTGTTTCGTGAATCGACTTATTAGTTCTCCTTGACGATTTTCTTACTCCAACGCTTCCTGTCTTTTGAACGCAATTTTTAGAATTCATGGTTTTGCGGTCTGGAGATTTGCCTGTTTTCATCGCGGTTCAACTTTCCTGAAAGGGACAACAGGAAATAATCGTCTATCTTTACTATGATCCTTCTTGAAGAGAATGCAACAATTAATATGTGCAGTTTCTGGTACGATGAAAAATCAAGCACTAGAAATTAATCAGATAAGCATATCAGGGTTACTTTTCCTTCCCCATTTCAACTCCTAAAATCTTTTCAGCATAAGGAGGCCGCAAGTGTATATCAAAGACGAACGGATAACACCAAAGCCATAGGCGGACTTATGATACACTCAGTGGTGGCATCTGCCCCAACTAAAATCATGGAAATATGCATAGTTGATGCAATACCTTTATAATTTTTGTTCCGGATACTTTGACACAACTTGCGTCAAGTCATTTACAAAACCATATACCTTGTGAATTTTTAATATTGATGATAACATAAAAAGGTTAACAAACAGAATGCCTATACAGAACAAACCCAACATTGTGAAACAACACAATTCAAAGCATCTAAGTCGCGAGTAATCAAAATGAAGAGGGCAGAAGTATAACAGCCAATTCGAAAAACTAGTAAAAAGTATTAAACGCAATCTGTAAATATGCCCAAATTCAACAGCGCCAATATTCAAACGATTACAAGACCAGGTTGAAGCCAAATTAAAATGAAAAATTTAAAACAAAGCAAGAATCGCCACGCAGGGAAGGCGCGTGGTTGAAAAAATTCAAATCTAGATTAAAAGCAGATTGAACAAATCAATCTCACCGGATTTTGGGAGTAGAAAAAGGCCTAGGATTCGAACCTACTTCACTACTTGCCAAAGAACAACCACGCAGGGCTGACAGAGGCGGACGGCGGCCGACCGCTTGTTCGTCGACGAAGAAAAATAAATCCGCTATTAACGAGATCGTATTTTGTCAGGGTTGTAATTAATTTCAGGGCGAACTTGGCATACGTCGAAATTCATGAATTATCATCTATATCTCCAAAATTTCAATTTTATCTTGCTTCCCGCCCATGGACGCGTTTATCCCCCTTGCCGCCATGTTTTTAAAGCGAAATTTGGTGGGGCGGTTTGGAGGTTCTCGCGACCCGCCTCTGTTGCCCTCTCTGTGGGGCCATATCTGTTTTCCCTTTCCACGGTGTCCAGGTGTGCATCCTCTTCCACTTTTGAAAGGTTCTTCCCCCTTTTATTTTTTTGATTTTTTGTCTTTTTATCGTTCTTCTCGTCTTGGTTAGAAGTTGCAGCCGGTGGTTCGGCAGTACCCATGTGGGCTTATGTGTTATTTGTTCCACTCTGGGTGGGAGACATGCTATGGTTGACATTGGGCCCAATTTGAGTCCGGCTTGGTTGGACTCGCCCATGTCATCGTTCCTACGTCCTGGCCTTGTTTCCTACTGTGTTTGTGTCCCTATCTCTGGCTGTTTCGCCATCTGGCTAGTGTGGTTATTGTCCCCATTTGCGGGGCCTCCAAGCTATTTTGATTTTTTGCCAGCCAGGCTATTTTGATTTTTATTCCATCGCTCCGTCCTCGTCGTATCCATTATGGACGCTCCATAATAGCAACTTCTTTTATAAACACAAATAAAAATTATCTTTTTTCATTTACAAAAAAGGCTACTTTTAGATGCTAGTCGGCTTCATATATTGCCTTTTTATTTTCTATAATTTCAGCTCTTATTTATCTGTTTAATCCGCTTTTGGGGATCCATATGGGTTTGGGAAAATCAATTGATGACTATAGCAATTTTCATCGTTTGCACTGAAGAATTTTAGTTTGGAGTCAGAGAAACGTAATATATCTATCCATTAAGATATCAATATATCAATATACTAAACAAATATTACAAGAAGCCAGCCGTTTTTAATAGAGAACAAAAACTGGAATTTTTATGCTAATAAAAAAATGATTTATTCGGGAAAAAAAATAAAGGGAAAAAACGGCCTAAGGTACAATTCCTGAACAGTCAACAGATGGCAGTGCGATTTTTAGAGCACAATCCTGAGTATGTGTACATCATTTACACATGGACAAACTTTTTAAACCAATGAAGGACTATAATTCAATGAGAATTATATGCTCAGCAAGTCAAGACACCCAAGCTAATAATATCACCCAGCAGATATCACACACTATCTCATAGTATGACCAGAAACCTCTCATTATATAATATGTTTTTGGAGTAATCAATCACTTAGGATAGTGGCAGAATATTTTCCTCAATACTATTGAGTTTACATGTTCAAACTGGCCCATACGATACGTAAAAGAATAAAGTAACATCGACATCAAATTTCATCCTTTCTCACCACACATAGTACCAGATACTTCAGTAATCCTTCTCTTTCCAACAATATCATCAGCATCAATAAGAAAAATCATGACCTGGACTGTCTGCATGCATGTCCATGCTATCACCAGAGTTGGAAGAATTAGTATCCCTGTTATTACTAAGATACCCTATCTCAGTGTTCCTGTTTCCATTCGCTGATGACATGATATTACTTGAAAGACTACCACCCTGTGCTAACTGATATGACTGGAGGCTGTGACGAATGGGGCTAGACAGAGCATTGGAGAAAACAGAATTCTTTCCTTGCTGATCAGGTTGCCCATTACGAATGGCCTGCCCTGTAACAGCTGCGGCAAGTGCATTAGATGGTATGGAAGCGCTAATGGTATTGGTGTGCATAACAGTCTGGAATTGTTGCTGGTGAAATGGCTGCCTCGGGGACATTGGGGACTCTTCTGCTCCATATTCAAGCTCATTCTACATAAAGACACAAAACTCATTATTAAGGAGTTATATTAGCCAGCCTAATGCAGGTTATATGAGTTTTCATCTAGAAAGAGCCATCCCAAAATGGAGTTATTCTGTGGCGGTCATCTCAGATAGCCGTGCAAAAGATCACAAGGAAAAATCAGATGATATTAACTGGTCTGATACATGCGTGACTATGTCAAAGACTAGGATTTAATCGTTGTTTCCATCAAAACGTAAGTTTCAATAGATGCAACAGAATTTGGGTGGGCGCTCCATGACAAGAACAACCTGGATGCAATATAAGGAAAAAAAAAAAAAGTGTGGTGTACGCCATGACAAAGGAAAATTTATTAACAAATGAATTCGGCTAGAAGGGAGAGAAGAGACAACTCAATGAAGAAGTAAAGCTGCGATACACAGAGCCCAATCCCACCCTCCTCCCGGCCAAAAAAAAAAAAATCAGTAAACATTTAGTGGGCACAAAACCTGCAAGTGAGTCACTATATCAATTGTCCCCACTCTTGATCCTTCTTCTTGTTGTCTAAGAATCCACTGATATAATTTTTCCTGTATATCAAAAGAAGCAACGTCAATCAAAATAAGAATAGCCACAATACCAATGCCGACAAGACGAAGAACACAGATACATGGGCGCATGCGCACCAAGCGGCTGATCATAAACAGAGAGAACCAGCTGCTTGACATATCCCCAAGATAACGCAGACAGAGGTATCACCAAGCAAGCAAATAAAGAGAAGTAAAATCAAGTTTCTTGGATATAAAGAACAGAATTGTTCACTGTTCAAAAATTCAAGCATGGAACGACCATGCTGTCAATCAGGAACTTCGAATGACTAGATTGAAAAGCTCCTTGAGGAGCCGTCAGGATATTTGATTCAAGACAAGGCATCGAATGATACACTTAAACGAAAATGTCAGATTCAAACAAGCCAGTGTCTACTATTGATTTCTGATAAGTAAATCGAAGACTCTACTTCGTAGAAAGGAAAAACTTCAGAAGACAATACAGTACAAGCAAGCAGTTGAGATGGAACCTACACAAGAGGGATTGATGATAATGTTGTTAAGGAAAAGGGGGGGGGGATTGTTCAGCGGCGCCAGTTAACACTAACAAAATGAAGAAAAAATAAAGACCCAGATATTCTCTGATCCCCCAGAAGATTCTACCAAAGGAACGTTGACCGACACAGATTCAATTAATTGATTACAATTAGGAGAAGGCGATTAACCAGGAGTAGATTACGAAAATCCATCGATTATGACTCGTGAAAGAGACGGTGGAAGAATAAAAAAGGATGATTAAAAAAAACAAAAAAACGGGGAAAAGGGATCAAATTAACCAGAGCGTGTCGTTCGCCAGCTTGGAAGGAGAGTTTTTGTTGGTTCATAGCCTGAGTGTAAAGGTGAGAGAGGGAGTTGGCGGCGCTGCAGAAGGTGGAGTACATGGTCCGGTCGACTTCGTCGAGGCGGGTGGCGACAGACTTCCTCTTCTTGGCCATGAGAATCGAAGGGAGGGGGAGCCGGAGAAACCTGGGAATGTGATGTATTTGATTCGAGGGTTAGAGAAGGGAATAAGAAGGAAACGGCGAGGTTTCGCGAGCATAAAGGTTGGTGCTTGGCGGCGAGTGGAGAGACAGAGGCGACGGTGTGGATGAATCTCCGAGTGGCGTACACGTGGCGTATCTTGACCCCTGGACATCTATTCATGCTCTTTTTTTGCTTCCACGAACAATTTATTAATTAATTAACAATTAACTAATTAAGGACGCATCCGTACCGTGTAAATATGATCCCCGCAGCATGCCGTGCTGGTAGGTTGGGATTGCCACTTCATATCAGCTTACATGCATCACATAAAATGTATTTACAAATGATTTAAAACCGATCCAAACAGGGTCTTAATTTTTTAAGATAAATATTCTTCTCGTGTTTATCTTAAAATGTGATATTGGAAATGCATGTCTTAAAATAATTTTTTATAATGTTGCATTTGATAGAGTAAAAATCTTTTTAAGGTGTGCAGATATTTAAATTAAGAAAGAAGGAGAGAAGAGAACTGAGAAGCACGAAGCGCGTGAAACTTGTCCCCTTTTTTCTCTGTTTGTATATATAGCCTCTCCTCCTTTCTCGTTTGTAAAAGAAAATACAGAATTTAAGATCAATCATCAATCACTACATACATGTTATAAGCATCACAATTTGGACCGTTCAGGTTGATTTTTGATAGTTTAAATTAAATTTAAAATTTTTTATATATTTTAATTAACTTTTTGTTTTAATAGATACATAGTTTAAAATAAATATAATATCATACGTAGTTTAAAATAAATTTATCACTGAAAAATATTTATATTAAAAATTTTAAATCTGAATCATTCATATTAGATTTTGGATGGTTTAGATTATATTACAGTGATGAGCACATAGTACTTATCGTTATGATGACCACTAAATAAAGACCCGTTATAAGTAAATCAAAGTCGATTTTCTTGTACTAATTAGGGCTAGGGCTGCACATGGGCAAAGTTGGGTAAGACAGGTCCCTTGCTCGATGCCCAGCCCGAAAGATGAGCGGGCTGTATTTTACAACCCACTACCCCGCACTGCCTAGTAGAAGCCCTAACTATTGGGCAAGGCGAGGGTGAGCTGGGTAAAGCGGGTTTTTCTACCCAGTATAATGACACCATGCCCTATATCATATGTAGAAAAAAAATTTCAATTATTGTGTTTTGAGACAAGTGAGAGGAAAAAAAATTATCACAAATGAGTCTATCACTCATATATATATGGCCTATGTAGTCTTGTTCTTCAACTTTCGATTTCTTATGGGAGGTAAAAAAAATATATTTAATAATCAAGCTAAATCGGCAGTTCAATTCCTTAGTTTATTCATATAGTTGGCAGATTTTTATAATCATATGAAAGCACAAAATTTGAAAGGTGGTTTTATTTTTCTTTTTTTTTGTGTTAAAAAATTGGATGTTAGAGAAAAAGAAAGAAATCTGACTTGGAGTAATTTAGCATATTGAATATTATATTTTGATATTTAGCTCTTTTATATAATTATAATTTTTATGTTCTTTTCATTTTTTTCCTAATTTTACCTAATTTTTTTAGCCAAAATAAAAGAGATAATTGCTCAAAATAATATTATCCTATATATAATTATATATTTTTTTGGGTAAGGCCAAATGAGCAGGGCAACATACTTTTTCCCGCGGCCTTGTCCTGCTTGTGAATTAGCCTGAATTGAAAATGCCCATTTTTGCCTGGGCAGCTTTTTACTGGGTTGGGTTGGGCACTTTTCTTGCGGACTCAGACGGGCTTATTGGGTATGCGGGCCTCATGCACACCTCTAATTAGGGCGGTACAATTGTGTTATCGAAAGAGGGAAGATTTCTGTCGATAGCGAATCAGCTATCCCCATGCGTTATTATATGTAATTTATAGCTAGTGATTACTGATTACTGATAATTTGATGTAGTTGTTAATTCAATTTTAGTTTGAACAATTTGTGTTTTTTTTTTCAAAATTAATGTGTTTTGAGGGAAAGGAAAGGAAAGTGATAAATTATAGATTTCCTCATGCCAAAATATGCGTGGAAAGTAATGATAGATCAAGAAACTGGGCTCAACGTTAACAGGGTCGAATAACACTGCCTCGTTCGGCAATATCCAATTGTCTCGACCGAAGAAGCTTCTACCGTGAAGTTATTGTTTGTAAGAAACACCAGATGGAAAAGAGCGAAAACAAAGTTGTAAACCATCGAGGAAAAGTAAAGGCCTACAAGACGCAAGCTCAAACCAGAACGGAACGATGATGATGATACTTATAAACCAGAGTTTATACAAGCCACATCAATATTAGCTTCCTGGCTACTTCTGAAGGGAAATCACTTTTTCCGTTATCAACCTGCAGGGTCAGCAATTTCATTGAATTTAAGGAATCAATTTACTGCCCCCATAAATTTTCTTATTTCTATTAGTTTTGCACAAGTTCCCCTAACAGTTTGCGGAGCAGGTAAACTTGATTGTCCGTCTTCATGAGTCGTCCGTTTTCTGGGCTTTTCCTTGCTCCGCCTGCCAACCCATGCTTGTTCCGTTACTACATGTTAACTGTAGTAAGCAATCAGATCGTATGCCGTGTAAAACGAAAAGAAGATCCATAAATCAAGCGCTAGCAGTCAAATAAGCAGCCACAAAAGCACTAAATACGTGAACTGCTTCTTTGTCTATCTCTCTCTCAATAGACTCCACCTCTTTCTTTCCTCTAATAATGCCTGCGTCTCCGTCCATATTTATTATCTTAGCTTCACATTAGCTAGCGTCCTCCTCCTTTCCCTCTCTGTCTTCAGGTACGTTACATCCTTTAATGGCCTCCCAAGCTTTGTTTCTCCGTCTGAGAGAGAACAAGATAAACGACACGCGAAACTTCATCTGTCTCAAGGACGCTCTTAATTTCTCACACTTTATTGCTCGCCTAATTTTTGATTAAATCCCTGTTCAGATGCAAATTGACCCTCTTCTTTCTCACCTTTTCCTAAGAAAATTGAATCAATATTTTCTGATTTTTCCTCTACTGACACCCCTCGAATAAAAGATATAATCAAATGCATATCTATTTTTTATTACTGTACGTTAAACTACTCGAACTGCTATTGTAAATCCTGCTTATTGTCAATTTTGCATGTGGTTGGTAAGAAAAGAATTGAGACGCGATATTTGCAGTAGATCGGAATAAGAATTTCATCATGTTTACTTGTATTTTGTCCTTCCCCAGATATTAATTAAAGCGGCTGGATTTCATAAATAAGTCCGGCTCAATATGTCTTCTGCAAGCAAGGGTGGTAGGAAAGCCGTCGTTGATGCGGCGTCATGGATGTTCAATGTGGTCACTTCTGTCGGAATAATCATGGTCAATAAAACCCTCATGGCTACCCATGGTTTTAGTTTTGGTATCGCCTTCTCACCACACATTAACTTGTCCTCGTCATGTCATTTTTATACGATTGCGTTCTGAGCTGATCCGCCACAATAAAACCAGTACATATATACGCATGCAGCTACAACGTTAACCGGTCTGCATTTTGCCACAACAACCTTGTTGACGACCGTCCTCAAGCGGCTGGGTTATATCCAGACCTCTCATCTACCATTATCTGATCTCATCAAATTTGTGCTGTTTTCCAATCTATCCATCGTGGGAATGAATGTGAGTCTGATGTGGAACTCCGTTGGATTCTATCAGGTAATTACTCGATAGAAAATTATCAGATTTTCGACCCTTATGTGAGACAAATTAAAGGTTTCATGATTGATTCACAGAGTTATTTTATTAATTTTGAGATGAAAATATTTTCAGATAGCTAAGCTGAGTATGATCCCGGTATCTTGTTTCCTGGAGGTTATATTGGACAAGGTGCGATACTCGAGGGACACAAAGCTGAGCATAGCATTGGTTTTGTTGGGCGTTGCCGTTTGCACAGTCACCGATGTAAGCGTGAATGCCAGGGGCCTCTTAGCAGCTTCGGTCGCTGTTTGGAGCACCGCACTTCAGCAATATGTAAGTAAAGCTAGCACAGCACCAAGTCTAATCACAAAGAATCTTAATTTACAAGATTCCGGCAACAGATCAACACGTACGACGTACATTGCATATTTAATATTTTACGATGTGTTGTGTGCAGTATGTGCATTCTCTTCAGAAGAAACACTCTCTTGGATCATTGAACTTGTTAGGCCACACGGCACCGGCACAGGCAGCGAGTCTGCTTGCGTTAGGTCCTTTTCTGGACTACTGGCTGACCAACAAACGAGTTGATGCTTATGACTATAGCGTGACACCCATAGTGAGTTTCTTTCCAGATTACGAAGTCCTACGTGCGAGTCATTACGTCGTTTTGTGTGAGTTGATATTGATCAAACGTTGTTGCTCTTGCTGTGTGCAGCTGTTGACCATTGTGTCTTGCAGCATCGCGGTTGGGACAAACCTGAGCCAGTTCATCTGCATTGGGAGGTTCACGGCTGTATCATTCCAGGTGATAGGGCATATGAAGACGATTCTGGTTCTGATTTTGGGATTCAGTTTGTTCGGAAGAGAGGGTCTAAGTGTGCAGGTGGTTTTGGGAATGGTGGTGGCAATAGTGGGAATGATATGGTATGGCGATGCTTCTTCTAAACCAGGAGGAAAAGAGCAACCTATCACCCTTTCCAGTGCTCCTGCGGCCAAAACACAGGATTTCGCTGAGCTACCAGTCTCTTCTGAATCCAATCACAAGTTCTAGAGTGTTACAAAGAATAATTTGAATCTTGTTTTTGTTCCTTTTATCCCAACTAGCTAGCTCTTTCAGTTTCTTAATCTGCATATTTCTCTTTGCTTTTTTGTTGCTTATATGGTGGGAAAACAGTTCGTTGCATCGTATATACATGTGGCTGCAATTTCTTGTAGAGAAAGCCAAAATATATATAGCATGTTACAGCCGTTTTCTGAACTGAAGGGAGCTGAGTTACCTTTTTGCGGTAAAAATGTAACTTCTGCAAACATATTGCATGGCTAACTATATATCACTCTGTCGATCAGGACAAGAGTACTTGTGAAACACTGGTCATCCCTCCATCTTGTTCAGCGTTAGGTTCAGCGAGAAATTAAATAAAATGGTTGCCATTTTTTAAATGTAAAACTAAAGTGGTGTTTAGATAAAACCAAACTATGGTTTAGAGAATAGCTTCTGGAGAATAGATTTTGGGGAGAATAAAAATTTTGTGAAGAATAGATTTTATGAAAAAGTGATTCTACGAAGTGAGAGTGTTTGGACAATTGTTATCAGAAACACTTTTTATATATACAAATTACTAAAAAAAACATAATTTAATATGATAATTACATAAAAGATAGATTTTATGATATATTTTAATTTGAAGGAATAAAATTGTTAATAATATATTTTTTACCAACATAATTAATAATACATAAGATAATATAATTAATGAATAATTAATATGTGTATATATATTTATAAGATATAAGATTAATATGTTTATAAAAAATTAATTGAGGGATATTGAAGTCATATTATTATTGAGATCTGCTCTGATAGGCACAATCATACTCTCCAATTTGAGCCAGAAGCAGAATAGATTCACTTCTTCTGAAACCATAGTTTTGGATTCCAAAGGTGTTTGGATGAAGCCAAACCATGGTTTGGAGAATATCTTCTGGAGAATAGATTCTGAAAGAATAGATTTGAAAGAATAGCTTTTCTGAAAAAGTGATTCTGATAAAGTGAGAGTGTTTGGATAGTTGTTGTCATAAGTGCTTTTTTATATGTAGAAATTACTAAAAAGGACATAAGTTTAAATGATAATTACATATAAGATATATTTCATAATATATGTTGGGATAATTAATCTCCAGGTCCTTATAGTTTCATCTGATTTTTAATTGGGTCCTTATAAAAAATTTTCTTTTTATCAGATCCTTTTACTTTCGTGTGTTTTTAATTAGGTCCTTCTTTTATTTTTCTTTTTATCAGGTCCTTATAGTTTCACTTATTTTTTAATTAGGTGCTTTGTAGTTTTTGAAAAATTATTTATTAACTTTATTCTTTAAAATTAATTTCATTTTTAAATTAATAATTATATAATTGGACAAAATAATTAATATAATCATTTAGTAATTAATAAATAATCAGAATAATAATTATACTTAAATATAAATTATTTATAATCATATTTTAATTTTAGAAAAATTTATTATTATAATTTGAATTTTATAATTTTAAAAATTTGAATTGAAAATAAATAATATATTTGTTTAACTAAAAATTTAAAAGAATATTAACATAAGATTGTTACAATAATTTATTATTTTTAAAATGTTATTATTTGTAAAATAAAGAATAAAAACTACAAGGACCTAATTAAAAACAAAGTAAAACAATAAGGACTTGATAAAAAGAAAAAAAATTATAAGGACTTGATTAAAAATATATGAAAGTATAAGGACCTGATAAAAAGAAAAAAAAATTATAGGGACCTGATTAAAAACCAGTTGAAACTATAAGGACTTATATATTAATTATCCCATATATGTTTATTTGAAGTAAATAAATAATATTAATACAAAAATTAATACGTATATATATTAATAAAATAAATAAATATGTTTTTTTGCAAAATGATTTAATAAAATAATTAAATATGTATATATATTAATAAAATAATTAAAATTAAAACGTATATATATTAATAAAATAAGTAAATATGTTTTTTGTAAAATATATTATTTAACCTCAAGGCTCACCCTCACAGACTCGGGCTGGTATTCACTGTCGCGCGTCGCCTCTTGCTCACTCCCCTCCCCCGATTGGCGATTCCCCGTGCCCCCCTCCCCAAGCACACAAAAACCACAAACCTTTGCCTCTTAGTCCGTCTTCGTCAGTCGAGTACTCGACGCTCGACACTCATCGCCCCAAAGCCCCCACCTCTCTAGACGCCTGTGCTCTCTCCTCTCTCATCGGCGTTGCCTCCGTCAGTCCCGTCTTGGCGTCTCATCTGGTTGAAGCGAAGCCAGGAGGCTGGCTCTCTCCTCTCTCGTCGGCGTTGCCTCCGTCAGTCTCGTCTCGTTGAAGCGAAGACAGGAGGTTGGAGAGTGAAGGACCGAAGAGCTCTATTTTCTTCAGAACGAAGCACGGAGAGTGAAGGACCGAAGAGCTCTGTTTTCTTCAGAACGAAGCACGGAGAGTGAAGGACCGAAGAGCTCTGTTTTCTTCAGAACGAAGCACGGACAGTGAAGGACCGAAGAGCTCTGTTTTCTTCAGAACGAAGCACGGACAGTGAAGGACCGAAGAGCTTGTGCCTCCTTCTGAGCGAAGCACCGAGAGTGAAGGCGTAGGATGGAGCTTGGTCGAGTGAAGGAGGAAGGAAATAACTGAAGCTTCTTCTGTGTAATATTCCTAGGCCCACCAACGGTCAATTATTTGAAGCAAGCAGAAGTAACCCTCCGTCCCATTATCCGAAACCAAGGTTTTGGGGGACAAAACCATGGTTTCCCCTAAAACCATGGTTTCAGTTTTTTGAGGGGTGTTTGGCAAATTTTTTTTCAAACCATGGCTTTTACATAAAGTGATTCTGGAGAATAGTTTCTAGAGAATAGATTCTGAAAAAAATAGATTTTGTGAAAAAGTGATTATGAGAAGTGAGAGTGTTTGGATAGTTGTTATTAGAAGCACTTTTTATATGTACAAATTATTAAAAAAAGCATAAGTTAATATGATAATTACATAAAACATAGATTGTATGATATATTTTAATTTGAAGGAATAAAATTGTTAATAATATATTTTTTACCAACATAATTAATAATACATAAGATAATGTAATTAATAAATAATTAATATGTGTATATTTATTTATAAGATATAAGATTAAATATGTTTATAAAAAATTAATTAATTGGTGTTAAACTCATATTTTTGTTGAGATTTACTCTCATAGGTATAATCATACTCTCCAATTTGAATCAGAAGCATAATGGATTCACTTCTTCCGAAACCATGGTTTTGGGTTCTAAAATCATGATTTTGACCCAAACCATGGTTTCAAATAATTTGTGCCTGTTTGGGTTGTTTTTTTCCCAAACTATGATTTGGGTCTCCAAACCATAGTTTAGCCTGCTATCCAAATAGGGCCTAAACAAGCCCTAAAACTAACTTTGGGTTGGACCAAAACGAGGACTTGACCCAGAAACGAAAAATACCGAGACGGGGATTTATAGAGAGAGACGATTCTACAGGTTTGAAGGAGAAGGTCCGCTTCTGCCTGTACCCATCCAGGAGTGCCATTTTTTTAAAAAATCACTTGACACAGCAATTTCAGCAAATTAAATCAAATATTAAACAAGGAAAGAGAATTCCAAAAGGATAATCTTCTCTAGCTGCTCTCTTTCCCAAAGTTTTTCTCATAAAATTTTTCAAGTTACACTCATGATTCATAACTTGTATAGCTCACCTTATATTTTGCAGAACACATAAGACTCGTATGTCTAATTTAATCAATGTTAGTTAAGTTATTAATGTTACATAGTCTTACCAGACATCATAAAAATGAGTTGCCACCTCAAAAAGCTCTTCCCATGCTCTGTAAAATTATAACTGAGCCTCATCTTACATATACTGCTATTTAGATCTTAAAAAAGAAACCGAGAGCATGAGCTTTCAAGAGAATAAGGAATGGTTTTATGTAGGGATCAATAATAATTACATAAAGCATTAATAATTAAAAATAATGCATTTCTATAAGCATTGGCAAATACGTTTTATAGATTTAACTATCACAGTGTTCAGCTGGAAACAAAACATTTAAATGCGCAACTGTGTGCGTACAGGGGATGCTCACAAGCCGCGTGGCAGTTGAAATCCAAGCTTCATGATTGGGCTGCATATGCAAGACTAGTCACTTCAAATAATTGATGCCCGCAGAGCCTACTGAAAAGGAGTTATTGCAGAGCGTAAACGCCTAGCATTGGCTGAAATGTTTGGTGGACTTAGAGGGTGTTTGACAACCTCCAAACCATGGTTTCAGAAGCACTTTTCCGTAAAACGAGACAAACTCCTCCACATATTTACTTCGTAAACTGTAAAAACACTTCTGAAACCATGGTTTGGTTTCTATCCAAACACCCCCTTAGAAGAGAACAGCAGAGAATAGTACTATGGCAAAATAAAATCCTACCACTCCCATTTGGCTGTCCTCTACTGCTGAAGTTAGTATGAAATAGAACCGGGCATTACACTATATTTAACATTTTTAACGCACGTATAACAAGACCTGGACAAGAATTCAAAATAATTTACATGTAAGTACAACAGAACCAATCTTTGAACAACCATGTGTGTGAGATTAGAAGCGAAGAATACTCATAATACTCCAAATTTACAAATAGTAGAGTTTGTGAAACAGCAATATGCATAAGTTTGTTTTTGTGGGGTGAATAATCATGAGGGTGAGGCACTCAGGCTGTGTGTGGGAACTGGGAACTTACATGGTTAGATAGTGGTGGCATCCCCAGGTTGATGTGCAAATCTAGAGGCCACTCCTTTTGCGAAACGCGGGGGAAAAGCGGCCCTTATGGGTTCCCTGTCCCATCACATGGGGATTCATGTCCTCCTTCGTTCATTCAACGCACTGTCAAAAAGACAAAAAGCACCACAGTAAACTCTCAAATGTATTCATTTTTAACTTTTTTTAACCTAAGAATCAAATATCATTTCAATTTCTAAAGTTC